AGAACAAGTGCTGCATGAGTGTGTTCATCGACTGGAGAAGGCTCCCTGCGGCAGCCTTTTGCAGCAAGTCTGCGATCACCTTGTGGTCTTCAGGAGCCAGCGACATGATGGCACCAAGTCTAAGCACTGATTAATCTCCTGCGAGCAAAGCCCTGCAGGATTTCACTTTGCGAGCCATGCCCTGCAAAGTACTACGAAATATAAAACAAAATAAAGCTGCAAAACCGCCAAGTTCCCTATCCAAACCCTACATAGGAAGCCAAAGGGTAGCCGCAATCAAAAAGACTGAGCCGAAGTCAACCCTATACATGCACATCTTCAAGTCAGCACAGCAGCCCGAAATATGCCAAAGAAATGAGATACCCCATGCAAAGAAGCCTGCAGCCACCACAACACAAACAAACCATATACTCTTTGTGCATTCAAAAAGACACGTCCCCCCACCCGAGACTACACGACCACACCCGACACAAACCCGGCACTACAACGAACCCCAGAGCCCTTCGGAAGAGAGCCGGCCTCTTCGGGCAGGCAGCCGCTGCAGGCCCGGCGAGGCACCAGGCGAAGGAGGTGGGAGGTTGGCTTCGGGGTATATATGCTTTAAAAAGTTCTGAACTCTACAACACAAAAGTCGCTCTCGAAACAGCAGTTCCTTTAAAATTTGTACAAGCAAACGAAAGCAGCAACAAATGTGTGGTTTAAATTTCGTGTGTGCATGTGTATGTCTGCCTACTTTTTCGGCTCTCAAGTTCCTTTCTTTGGCCATATTTACTGGGCGTAAATGGACTTACTACAAGTGCCCTAACTCAGTTATTGCAAACCATCTAACTCCTTATACCACTTGAAATAACTGCTTGTGTCCTGCCCCACAACTGACTTACCAGGGTTAGCTGCTAAGTACTGCAAGCAAATAGCTAACACTTAAGTTTCTAGCACAACCATTTAACACCGCAGGTAATTGAAATTTATCCACTTGCTAAATCATGTCACCACTTAGCCAGCATAGCTTCCTGCACTTACACCACTTGACACACTTGCTAACTCCACTTACACAACATAGCTATGTACTTGCTTACCGCAACAACTCGCCTTTTCCTTTACTAACCACCGCGACCCTCCAAGCGGAGGGCGCTGAGGGCGTTGAGGGCGCTGAGGGCGCTGAGGGCGCGCGCTGAGGGCGCTGAGGGCGCTGAGGGCGCTGAGGGCGCGGAGGTGAGGACGCGGAGGGCGCTGAGGGCGCTCAGGGCGCTCAGAGCGCTGAGGGCGCGGAGGGCGCTGAGCGCGCTGAGGGCGCTGAGGGCGCGGAGGGCGCTGAGGGCGCTTATAGGGCGCTGGGGCGCTGTGGGCGCTGAGGGCGCGGAGGGCGCGGAGGGCGCTGAGGGCGCTGAAGGCGCGGAGGGCGCCGGGGGCGCTGAGGGCGCGGAGGGCTCCGCGCGGAGGGCGCGGAGGGCGCGGAAGGCTGAGGCCGCGGAGGGCGCTGAGGGCGCGGAGGGCGCTGAGGGCGCGGATGGTGCTGAGGGCGCTGAGGCTGAGGGCGGAGGGCGCGGAGGGCGCTGAGGGCGGAGGCTGAAATTTTCAGGCCGAGCGCATCCTGTGCCAAAGTCGGAGCACAGACAGCGCTGAGCGCGCGGAGGGCGCTGAGGGCGCTGAGGGCGCGGAGCGCGCTGAGGGCGCTGAGGGCGCTGCGGGCGGTGAGGGCGCGGAGGGATGCTGAGGGCGCGGAGGGCGCGGAGGGTGCGGAGGGCGCTGAGGGCGCTCAGGGCGCTCAGAGCGCTGAGGGCGCGGAGGGCGCTGAGGGCGTTGAGGGCGCTGAGGGCGCTGGGGGCGCGGAAGGCGCTGGGGGCGCTGAGGGCGCTGAGGGCGCGGAGGTGAGGGCGCGGAGGTGAGGGCGCGGAGGGCGGTGAGGGCGCGGAGGGCGCTGAGGGCGTGGAGGGCGCTGAGCGCGCGGAGGGCGCTGAGGGCGCTTATATAGGGGGCGCTGAGGGCGCTGAGGGCGCTGAGGGCGCGGAGGGCGCGGAGGGCGCTGAGGGCGCTGAGGCGCGGAGGGCGCTGAGGGCGCGGAGGGCGCTGAGGTGGGCGCTGAGGTGGGCGCTGAGGGCGCTGAGGGCGCCGGGGAGGGCGCTGAGCGCGCGCTGAGGGCGCGGAGGGCGCTGAGGGCGCTTATAGGGCGCTGAGGGCGCTGAGGGCGCTGAGGGCGCTGAGGGCGCTGAGGGCGCGGAGGGCGCGGAGGGCGCTGAGGGCGCTAAGGGCGCGGAGGGCGCTGAGGGCGCTGAGGGCGCGGAGGGCGCTGAGGGCGCGGAGCGCGCTGAGGGCGCTGAGGGCGGTGAGGGCGGTGAGGGCGCTGATGAGGGCGCGGAGGGCGCGGAGGGTGCGGAGGGCGCTGTGAAGGCGCGGAGGGCGCTGAGCGTGAGGGCGCTGAGGGCGCGGAGGGCGCTGAGGGCGCTTAGGGCGCTGGGGCGCTGAGGGCGCGGAGGGCGCGGAGGGCGCTGAGGGCGCTGAAGGCGCGGAGGGCGCGGGGGGCGCTGAGGGCGCGGAGGGCGCGGCGCGGAGGGCGCGGAAGGCTGAGGCCGCGGAGGGCGCTGAGGGCGCGGAGGGCGCTGAGGGCGCGGAGGGCGCGGATGGTGCTGAGGGCGCTGAGGGTGCGCAGCGCGCTGAGGGCGGCGCTGAGGGCGGAGGGCGCAGAGGGCGCTGAGGGCGCTGAGGGCGCGGAGGGCGCTGAGGGCGCGGAGCGCGCTGAGGGCGCTGAGGGCGCTGCGCGGAGGGCGCGGAGGGCGTTGAGGGCGCTGAGGGTGCTGAGGGCGCGGAGGGCGCGGAGGGCGCTGAGCGGAGGGCGCTGAGGGCGCTGAGGGCGCGGAGCGCGCTGAGGGCGCTGAGGGCGCTGAGGCGCGAGGGCGCTGAGGGCGCGGAGGGCCCTGAGATCTGCGAGGGCGCATGCAGTATCCATGGCCCATCCATTTAGAATGCATGACGCACACGCTCTGATGCGCATGGTTTATAATCATAGCATGCGTTCACAGCATGCATGACCCAGCCTCACATTGACGTGCATGTTTGATGTGTTGTGAGTTCACAGCATCCATGGCCCAATCATATAATGGCGTGCATGATTTATAATGCGTATAGATTAAAGCTATTGCTTGATCTGTGCTCTGGTTACTAAGTATCTAATGAAGTCCAGTAACATGAACTATGAGTTAGGTAACCACACCTCCAAATGCTTTCAATGGACCATAGTCCGACGATGTTTTGTTGTTGATATATAACTGCTTCAACATTAGTGTACTTAAATTATAATTGCGATAACCAGATCATGGATTTATGTTGTACTTGAGGTGCTTATCAATCAACCTTAGTTGTGATCGACGTCGTGCTGAGTTGCAATTCAGTTATAAGTAGGGTGCTAAGTGGGAGATAGGTCCAGCGACGTGGCCTCCGAGTAAGTAGGCTAAGTGGGTTACCGGCTAAGTCCGCTAAGTGGGTTCCGCTGCGTCATGGCTATAAGTCCGATAAGTCAGCGCGCTGTTCTGGAGCCCACTCAAGCTACTTAGCCTACTTACGGATATGGATTTATCTTCACTTACTTATGTAAGTGCACTTAACCTACTTACGTGTGTGCCCTTCTCCTTCTTATGTAAGTCCTGTAAGTCCTACTTACCCTACTTATGTATAAGTGCAACCCTAAGTGACTCATACCACATATTTACATCCACCCGATATATCCCACTTAATAACCCCACAATAAGTTGACCTTAACTCGCGCAACCCGTGCTCTGGTAAGTCAGTTGGTCTTCACCTTTATAAGTCCAACATAAGTCCATCATCCACTTAGTAAGCCCACCAACCACTTATAAGCAAAGCGATCCTATATATTAGACCGGTAAGTATTCACTGCATCTATTTTGCCCACATGTATGCATGCATGTGTATGCTTTATAATTCGAGGTCACCATAGTAAGAACGACGTGCATTCTGAGTTCCATCGCGCAACTCAACTACTAGTACAGTGAAGCCACATGTAAAGTAGCGTCGCTGCTGCATGTAAGGGCTCAGCGCCCACTTCTTGAAACAATACTTGGGGTTTTCAGGCGTCCCAGAATGAGCTTGTGAAGTCCTGATAAGTCAAAACCGATTCTGCAATTTTGGTTCCGCGAAGTTTGCTGGCCCTGCCAACATTTTTTGCGCGTCGCATCTCAGAACTCTTGAATTTAGTGATGCTGATCTCTTCACAGATGCAACCTACCTTGAGCCATGTCCCCCAGCGTCTGCTCGCACGTAGTTGTTTTTTGGCGTGGGCGGGTCTCAACGACTGCGGCAGCAGCACTCGGTCCCTACAGGAAGCCTAGCAAACGAAGAAAACTACCCAAAAAATATGAAACAAGCTGCGACCTGCAGGCTTTGCCGGCAGGAGTCGTTCAGCTTCGGTTCCTGCCAAAATCCTGAAGGGTTTTGGACCACGGCCTGCATGGCTTTCCACGGATTTGGGACCGCGACCAGAATGCTTTCTCCCACGTACTGGCGCGTCCAAACATATTTTCGCCCAAGTACTGGTGGGATTCAGAAGCACGGCGCTTTGCCTCCCCACGTGTTTTTTATTATATTAGCTGGATTCAGAAGGCCACGCTCAAAGGTTTGGAAGGTGGCAACTTTGGGATTTATATAAGAAAACGCTATTGCGTCAAATGGACGCCAAGCGTCCAAGGCACGGGGGGGGGGGGGGGTCGAGAACGCGGAGCGCGGGCACATATAATGGGTATATAATAGCTATATTAAGGGTATATACCTAGGGGTCCTTATAAAGGGTCCCTCCTTTTACCCTTGGAGTTCAGGAATCTTCTAAGTAAAGCAAGGTTCTCAAGGGCGTTACAGGGTGAAACCTCGAGTTTTCTCATGGAGCTAAATCTACCTTGTAAGAAAATATTGGGCTTCCCTATCATGGCAAGTTACATGGAGTGCCGAAACATTACCTTCAATATATTTTGTAACGCACCAGAAAACCTGAGGATCTACATGGCGCAAGAGCAGGCCTTTGCCGAGCTGACTTTGGGGAGTCGACTGGACCTCGAGGCAAGGCAGCACCTGCCGGGGGGGAGAAGACCCGAAAAGTCGAAATACTAAATGGTTAAATGGTCAAGCCCGAAAGAAACCGCGCCCCTATGGAACCCTACACCCTAAGCCCTGAACCCTTAAATCGGGATGCCAATCAAAAAAAACTTTTTTCAATCAATTTTTTTTCAATCAAAAAACACTTTTTTCCAATCAAAAAAAAACTTTCCCTTATTAAAGGAAGCACGACAGGAAGGAAGGAAGGAAGGAGGGAAGGCAGGAAGGAAGGAAGGAAGCAAGGAAGGCGGGGAGAAAGGGCGAGGAAGGAAGGAAGGAAGGAAGAAAGCAAGGAAGGCAGGAAGCAAGGAAGGAAGCAAGGCAGCAAGGAAGGAAGGCAGGCAGGCAGGCAGACAGGAAGGAAGGCAGGAAGGAGGGAAGAAGGGAAGGAATGAAGGCAGGAAGCAAGGAAGGAAGCAAGGCAGCAAGGAAGGAAGGCAGGCAGGCAGACAGGAAGGAAGGCAGGAAGGAAGGTACAACAACAACAACAACACTACTACTACTACTACTACTACGGCTGATAGACAAAATCCTGCATTACCCTAAGGACCCTACACTATGGGAATTATAGTATATTCCTTATTATGGGTAATGCAGGATTTTGTCCATCCACCGTAGTACTACTACTACGACGGCTACTACTACGACGACGACTACTACTACTACTACTCCTCCTCCTCCTCCTACTACTACTACTACTACTAGTACTATTAGTACTAGTACTACTGCTACTACTACTACTACTACTACTACTACTACTATTACTAATACTGCTACTACTACTACTACTACTATTATTACTACTGCTACTACTACTACTACTACTACTATTACTACTACTACTACTACTACTACTACTACTCCTATTACTACTACTACTACTACTAGTACTACTACTACTCGTACTACTACTACTGCTACTGCTACTACTACTATTACTATTATTACTATTACTATTACTATTAACTATTACTATTACAATTACTATTACTATTATTACTATTACTATTACTATTATTATATATTACTATTACTATACTGACTATGACTATGACTATGACTATTACTATTACTATTACTATTACTATTATTATTACTATTACTATTACTATTACTATTACTATTACTCTTACTATTACTATTACTATTATTACTATTACTATTTTACTAGTACTATTACTATACTATTACTATTATATACTATTACATTACTATTACTATTATTACTATTACTATTACTATTACTATTACTATTACTATTACTATTACTATTACTATTACTATTACTATTACTATTACTATTTCTATTACTATTACTATTACTATTACTATTACTATTTCTATTTCTATTTCTATTTCTATTACTATTACTATTACTATTACTATTACTATTACTATTACTATTACTATTACTATTACTACTACTACTACTACTACTGCTGCTACTACTACTACTACTGCTACTACTACTACTACTACAAAAGTTTTTTCTGATTGGAAACAAGTTTTTTTTGATTGGTGAAAAAGTTTTTTTTGATTTTCGCTGAAAGTTTTTTTTTGATTGAAAAAAGTTTTTTTTTGATGGCTTTCCCGCCCTTAAACCCCTAAACCCTAAACCCTGAATCCTTAAATCCCTAAACCCTAAGCCCTGAACCCTTAAATCCCTAAACCCTAAACCCTGGACTCTTAAATCCCTAAACCCTAAGCCCTGAACTCTTAAATCCCTAAACCCTAAACCCTGAACCCTTAAATCCCTAAACCCTAAACCCTGAATCCTTAAATCCTTGAACCCTAAACCCAAGGCCCCAAGCCCTCAAAAAAGGGCCCTGAGGGCTTCTCAGCCCACCCACGAAACCTACTTAGAGGATCATGGGACTTCGTAAGTAGGTTATAATTAGGGTTATAAGTCCCCTAAGTAGGGTTATCCTAATTATAACTTACCTTACTAAGTCCCCTGCCCCAGACAGTAGCTTCACAAGGACCGCCTTAAGCGAAAGCCCCCTACACCCGAAACTCCTACACCCCCGAACCCCAAACCCTAAACCCTAAACCCCTACTCCACCCGCCCAAACCCTAAACCCTAAACCCCTAAACCCTATAAGCCCCCAAGCCCATCAGCCCTACGCCTTAAACCCATCTAAGCCCCTTGAAAGGAGCCCCAAAAAAGAGACCCGAAACCCTGAACCCAGCTTGACAGGTGGAGGCGGTCTGGCTCGCCCTGAGCAACGATCCAGCGGAGTCTTTGGCAGTGCGAAGACGGGTTTTCGGTCTTTGAATCGCAGGGTCCTAAACCTAAACCCCAGGGTTGAGGGTTTTAGGGGTTTAGGTCCTAAACCCTAAACCCTAGGGTTTCGGGTTTTCGGGGTTTAGGGGTTAAGGGTTTTGGGATGTTTTGGGGTTTAGGTTTTCGGGGGTTTAGGGGTTTAGGGGTTTATGCAAGCAGTCAGCAGACAATCCGAGCGAGAGCGACGCCTGGATCCTTAGCCAGAAGATTTAGATGTACAAATTACGAATTAGCCTGCGTTCGCACGGCGACGGGACCGACCACCTTTACAATAATTGTTCCACACCTCTTGTGGGGACACGTACGCTATCGGACACTCCATAGGCTCCTTATCTGGGCCAAAAACATTTCTCATGGCACTCGAGTATTTCCAAGCACCTAACAACGGATGGACCGGTGACTGCCCCGCCGGTCTGAGACAGCGTGGCACTAAAGACAGACTAGGAACCATCTCGTGGCAACCATAAACCGCCAAAGACTTAGACCTGCTCAATTGAAATTCAATGCCGTGGCGTTTCGCCAAAAACTTCATAGCATGATAGAAAGTAGTCGTTTGTTTGCCGAGCGGTTGCCTGCAAACACGAAGTGCTGGATAATCCACTTCCGTCAAGAAGAGAGATGCGCACTTGCACTTGTCTAAACTAGGTGGGCGAACTCCAGGGGGGAGAGCCGCCAAATTTTGTGGTGACAACCAACCTGTCCGTTTCACGAAAAGAACATACACTTCCAAAAGGGACATCGCCTCATCTGACTGGACCCACTCCTGATCCCTTATAAACGTTTGCAGCACCCACAGAAACCTAGGACCTAGGAGGCCGTCTTGAAATTCGACAGGTGATGGCATGCTTTGCCCCCTCACTGCAACGAGCAATTTAGCCGACGATTGACCGTATGTACGGGCGGGCTCCACCTCAGGCCCTTGTGCGTTCGCAATATTTCCCGAAGACGGCTCAACTCGCGTCTGCGTAGTCTTAACTACATCTTCCTGGAATTTGAAAACACGGTGAGCTTTCAGAAGTTGTGTATTTACAGCGGACACAGCGGCACGGAAAATGCTTTCCTGTTCATTTGTCCATTTCTTCTGGGCGCGCTTGGCTGCATGATCAGCTTTATCATTATGAAAGGCACACCATTGCAAGAAAGAAGTAGTCTGCTGCCACGGTTTGGTGTGGGAATGCACGTGAGTGATCGTCCATCCCTGCCGCTTATGGCGAATTATGGACCAAATCGCCCACCATAGCTCTGTTTCTGCAAGTTGGAGGAAGCGATCCGCCACCCAACCTTGTTTAAGCAACAAACTAAAACCCTGGACCACCCCAAGGTTATCAGAAAACACATCTGCAGATACTGCACATTGCACCACTACAAAAAGAGCAAAGAGCTCAGCTCTATAGTTGCACTGCTTGCCTGGCAGAACATCTGCAAAAAGAACTTCAAAATCATGCGATCGAGGACAGGCCAAAACAACAGACCATGAACTTCTGGCCACAACTGCATGAGGCATGGTGCTGCCATCGGTAAACAGCACTGCATGTTCGTGAAGACACTCTTTGATATCAGGCCAAGGAAGTGACTCACAGACATGAAACCATGTCGCTACCTCTGGGGGGATTTCAAACAAACCTCTTAACAATTGGGTGTCGGAAAAACTACCTTGGGGATCTATTAACGATGCTGAACGAATACTCGCAAAATGCGGGCAGTCCCTCAACCTGTGAGTGTAGCTATCTTCAGCTCCACAGTAGCGACATTTCGCTGCGTCTTCATCCAAAAAATGTCGTTTTTGGTTGCTAGACAATGCTGCTCCCACAGTGAAACTTCCGATGATGGGCACGGAAGCCTGAGTCGCACGTCGTAGACACATGGTGTGGTTTAGGGGTTTAGGGTACCGGGTTCCTTTGTAAGAAATCCTTTAGTGTGTCCCGTAAGGGTTGCTATCAGGGTTTGGGATTTAGGGCTGACTTCAAGGGTAAGTACCTATATAGTAGACTGTAGGGTTTCTATACTGGGAATTGCTATTATGATTTTGGGATTGGGATCTGAGGGGTTTCGGGTCTGGGCTCAGTTAGGGTTTTGAGGGGTTTAGGGGGTAGGATTTTTGGAGGGTTTGGAGTTTTGGAGTTTTATAATATGTCGTGTGAGGTTCAGATCTTTAAAGAGGACGAGTGATAACACGCACACACAGAGTCCCTTCTACAATCCCAGAGGGTCCATACACACTCCTATTATGGAATTAGGGTCCCAAAACCATAAAAGGGATGGTCTTTTTGGGACCTACTTCCATAATGGTAGTGCATATGGACCCTCTGGGAATGCGTTATTTTGATTATCCCATCCCAAAGGGCTGAGGGTTGCCTTTGCTTCTAAGGCTCTCACGCCCTGCTTGGGTTCACTGAGGGCCGAGATTCCGTTGCTTTCTGCCTAAACCCTGAAATCCCCAAACCCGAAGCCCAGAGCCCTACATACCCTAGAAGCCCTATAAGCCCGGAACCCTTACGGATCCCTTTATCGGAACCCTTATGGATCCCTGTAAAGGAGCCCCCTTATGGATCCCGTTGAAGGAGCCCCTTATAAATCCCTTTAAAGGAGCCCCTTAGTGATCCATTTAAATTAAAGGAACCCTTAATGGACTGAGGAGCCGAGCGTGCACAACCTCACGGACTCACTTCAGCTGATCAGCTCCCAGCCGGGCCTCGCGCGTTTCAGCGTGGATCTGAAGGCCGGCGGAGGGTTTCGCGGGTTCCCTGAAAGGGATCTTTTGGGGGTTCCTTTAAAGGGAACCATAAGGGCTCCTTTGAAAGGATCCATAAGGGTATAAGATTTGAGGGTTTAGGGTTTAAGGTTTGGGGCCTGTTGTATAGTGTTTAGGGGCTTTGGGTTTAGGGTTTAAGGTTTAGGGGTTTAGGAGCATTTGGGGGTTTAGGGTTAGAGGTGTGGGCCGGCCAAGGGTCCATGTAGGGGCGCTACTCTTCAACATGAAAGGCGGGGTGTGGCAAGGATCCTACTATGTCGGGCACTTTGAGGTGTAGATAAATGGCACCTGAATTTCTGAAGCTGCGCTGGAGATACGGTTGATGATATAAATCCTGCATTACCCATAATAAGGAATATACCATAAATGCTATAGTTGAGGGTCCTTAAGGTAATGCCGGATTTATATCATCAACCGTAAGTCGTCGGATGAGGAGAAGTTCCGAAAAGGTTTCGATCGCGGGGTTTCTGCGAAGCACCTTCGGGCCAAGAAGTAGTTGCATCTTCATATCCTGCACCGTTTAAACTCCTAACCCTTATAAGCCCTAAACCCTCAACCCGTGAACCCGAAACTCTTAAACCCCAAGGCTCCAGCCCCGCGACCTCAAAGCCTGAATCCCTAAACCGCGAAGTAGACCCTGAGCCCTAAACCCCTGAACTCCTAAATGCCCAGACCCTGAACCCTTAAACCCTGAACCCCTAAGTCCTAAACCCGAAATACCCCAAACTTTAAACCCTTAAATCCTTAACCCTTTGCGCCGAACCAGAACCACAGGGTTTAGATCAACAAGGCTTATATGAAAGGAACCCAAAATCTTATTTTTGTATGTGGTTGGCTTTATTTGTGTTTAAAAGTGTTTTCTTGCATTTAAAAGTGGTGTTTTGTATTTAAAAGTTTTTTAAATATGTTTTTTGTGTTTTACAGTTGTTAAATTTTTTTAATTTTATTTTTGGTGTAAAAAAATACATGTTTGTGAATTATGAGTTTTTGTTTCTGATTGAGTCAAATGGCTTCCTGTTGTTCTACCTGGTTTCCTGCAGCTGTACGTCTACAATTTTTTATTTGTTTTTGAAGTGCTTATTTCATCAATATAAATATTTTTGGTTGTGATTGAGTCAAATGATAAATGGCATCCTGCTGTTCAACCTGGCTTCCTGCTGTTCTACGTCTACAAATTTGTTTGTATTTGTTTTTAAAGTAGTTTATCAATTTAAGTTGGGGGTTGTGATCGAGTCTAAGGGTTTAGGGTTTCCTTGAAATGCCGACCTTCCCCACATGGATTCGAGCGGTGCAGTGGTGTGTCGTACAGTAGTAGTACAAGTAATAGCACAGTAGTAATGCAGTAGTACAAGAGTAGTACCATATTTAGTAGTACAGTAGCAGTGCAATAGCAATACAGAAGTACAGTAGTAAGAGGGTAGTAGTAAAGTGGTAGTACAGTAGGGGTACATTACAAGGGTGTGGGAGTACCTGGAGCTGTTTAGCAGGGTGTGGGCACGACCAAAGTCCAAACCACGATCACTCCAAGATACCAACACTAAAACCTTTTATGTTGAGAACTTTTTCGTCCGGCCTACACTCCTGTACAGCAGTGCATTAGTATTGCAATAGTACAGTAGTAGGACAGTCGTAGAAGAGAAATACATAAAATCAGTCGGCCCAACAAAGAACGCACTAATCATTAATTAGGCCACCATTTTTTTGATACAGCCCGAATAAGCACGGGAAACACGCATCAACTAGGCACACCGGACCAGAAGGACCCCCACATTAACCTGTATTAGTGGTGTGATGCTATTAGTCAATTTCAGTATTCGCATGCGTTTGGCATGTTGCTACTTGTTTGTGTTTGCTTGGTGACTGTTTTGTGCAAGTCTGTTGTTGTGTGTCTTGGCTCAAAACTTCTTCACAAAAAAGCGAATCACAACGTCGCCTCCTGCTTGGAAGCAAAACAAGATATAGAAAACCTGGCTCAGTCTGGTCAAGTTTGTTTCGGTAATGTTTTTTTCAAAAAAGGAGAGCCCAAATTTAGGAAAAGGGAAAAGCAATCCACACTGGGGTGATTGAGCCGGGGACCGGCCATCCGCCCCCAGCCCAGCCCAATTCCAAGATGCCGCATCGTCAGCCCAGCCAGCCCACCCCCACCCCAGCCGACCCCCCCCCCACCCGACCCACCCCCTACTTTCGGGGGACACCCATTGCGATTTGATGATTTTGGTTTGGGGACAGGCACCGGACACCCCTTGCGAGCTGCGAGTTTTTGGACAGCCGTAGGGGGAGCCCTTGCGGTTCATGATTTGGGAACCTATTTTTTAATACAACCTGCAGGGAGACACTCTTTGCGATCCGTGATTTTGGGATCCGCGATTCTTCAAAACCTAATCGGACACCCCTTGCGGGCCCCAGCCCCCAACCCCAGCCCACCACCGCATCTGTTGGCAAAATCTGGCGGAAGTGAGCCGCCACCGAGCAGAAAGCCTGTAAATACCGCGTTAAAACAACGGCCAGGGATCCCACACATCTGCGGGCAAAATCTGGCGGAAGTGATCCGCCACCGAGCAAAAAGCCTGTAAATACCGCATTAAACAAAGGGCCAGGGATTTCACACATCTGTTGGCAAAATCTGGCGGAAGTGAGTGCTGCTCACTTCCGCCAGATTTTGCCAACAGATGTGTGAAATCCCTGGCCCTTTGTTTAATGCGGTATTTACAGGCTTTTTGCTCGGTGGCGGATCACTTCCGCCAGATTTTGCCCGCAGATGTGTGGGATCCCTGGCCGTTGTTTTAACGCGGTATTTACAGGCTTTCTGCTCGGTCGCGGCTCGCAGGGAAGGCTGAGCGTGGGCTGGGGGACTGGCGGGTGCCCTTCACTACACCCTCCCCCAACCCCTTTTCTCCCTGCCTTCACCCAGCCCGAACCGCCCCAACAGGCCCAACAGGCCCAACAGGCCCAGCAGGCCCAGCAGGCCCAGCAGCCCCAGCCCCAGCAGCATTTTATCATGAAGCCTTTTCCGGAAGATCGGCCCGGCAAAATCTTAGAAGACATTTGTGGCACTTGTGGCACGCCCCGGAAAAATCTTATTAAATCTTATTAAATCTTATTAAATCTTATTGAATCTTATTGAATCTTATTGAATCTTATTGAATCTTATTAAATCTTATTGAATCTTATTGAATCTTATTGGTCCATCATTTTTAAAAGGGACACGACTCCAGATCGCCCCAAAAAATCTTATTGAATCTTATTGAATCTTAGAAGACATTTGTACAATTGTGGCCTACCCCGGAAAAAATCTTATTGAATCTTATTGAATCTTATTGAATATTATTGAATCTTATTGAATCTTATTGAATCTTATTGAATCTTATTGAATCTTATTGAATCTTATTGAATCTTATTGGTCCATCATTTTTAAAAGGGACACGACTCCAGATCGCCCCAAAAAATCTTATTGAATCTTATTGAATCTTAGAAGACATTTGTACAATTGTGGCCTACCCCGAAAAAATCTTATTGAATCTTATTGAATCTTATTGAATCTTATTGAATCTTATTGAATCTTATTGAATCTTATTGGTCCATCATTTTTAAAAGGGACACGACTCCAGATCGCCCCAAAAAATCTTATTGAATCTTATTGAATCTTAGAAGACATTTGTACAATTGTGGCCTACCCCGAAAAAATCTTATTAAATCTTATTGAATCTTATTGAATCTTATTGAATCTTATTGAATCTTATTGAATCTTATTGAATCTTAGAAGACATTTGTACAATTGTGGCCTACCCCGAAAAAATCTTATTGAATCTTATTGCTCAGCCCTGTTGATCCAAACTTTGTGGTTTTGGCTTGTTGCGAATTTATAACTTTTTCCTTGGAAAATCTCAAATATTCGCCACCGTTTCGCGGGGGGCGGGAGCCCCCCGCACCCCCTGGATCGAGGGCTTGCCCCCCTCGAGCTCCCCCCCTTCCCCCCAAGCCCCCCACCGGGGGAAAGGGGGGGATACCCCCCCTTGAACCCCCCGTGGAAGCATATTTCTTGGATAGATAGATCGAGATTCCCTTTGCAAGGAGATTACATAAAATCTTGTCAGTGTTAGAAAGGAAAACAACCCAAATAAAATATTGCTACATCTAACTATAAATCTCATTAAATCTTAATTCGTCTTCAAAAATTATGAAGTCCCGAGCCCGGTCCCCAGCCCTCGCCCTTGCGCCTTATCAGCCCACCTCCCAGGCCAGCCTCGCCCCCGCGCCAAACTCAAAGCCATGACCCTATAAGCACATATAGATACCAGATATGACAGCAAACAGCAAAACCTTTAAAGAGCAAAGTCAAAGCACCCACACAAAGCAATGTTTACAGGGGCGCTCCCTGCTTGAGTCGATGAAACACACTACTGTGCTTGTACTGTGCTACTACTGTACTACCATTGCACCAATGTACTACTATGCTACTGTACTACTGTACTCTGTACTACACGCCACTGTACCGTACCAGGCCTCAAACTTGGTCGATCGTGGGGGTGGTTAGGTTGGAGGCAAAAGTCTTCAACATGAAAGGTGTGCAGTGTTATCGGGGCTTGTTTTCAAGTTTTTGGTGATCCCCAAGCCCCCCGATTGCGGCGTTCGCGCAGGTTTCAAACCGACCATGCGACCCCCCATTTCCCTTCTAACTTATCCAAAGCCATTCAGACCCTCAGCCAGCCGAACCCCGGTCCAGGGGGTCACGGACACCAGACTATTCAAACCAAGAACCTTTGGTCGAGGGGGGGTGGCTATTAAACGGCCGCCACATCACAGGTAGCAGAGATACAAGAAGAAGCTCGATGATGCACAGGTGAGTACATGTAATCGTCCAGTAGTAATGCATGTAATGGTACAGTAGTAATGCAGTAGTAGTACAGTAGTAACACGGTACGAGGTTTTTAAGTGTACTTGGAGCTGTTTAACGGTTTGGGGGGATCACCAAAGGCTGGAAACCAAAAGCCCCGATCACTCCAAGATACTACCAACACTGAAAACCTTTCATTTTGAAGACTTGTGCCTCCAACCTACACTCCCTTTCACAATCGACTATGTCTGAGGCCTGGTACGGTACAGTAGTAGTACAACAGGGTAGAGTAGTACAATAGTAGTACTGTAGTACGACAGTCGTACAGTAGTAGATACAGTGCAGTGTTTAGGGGTACTTGGAGCTGTCTAGCGAGGTTTGGGGACGACCAAAAGTCGAAGCCAAGACACGGTCACTCAACGAGAACTACCAAAACTGCAAACCTTTCACTCTGAAGACTTTTGCCTCCAACCTACACTCCCCTCCACAATCGACCACGTCTGAGGCCTGGTGCGGTGCAGTGGTGTGTCGTGCAGTAGTAGTACAAGTACTAGCACAGTAGTAGTACAGTAGTACAAAAGTAGTACCGTCGTAGTACAGTAGCGGTGCGATAGCAGTACAGAAGTATACTTGTAAGAGGGTAGTAGTAAAGTGGTAGTACAGTAGTATTAAAGTAGTTGTACAGTAGTGGTACAGTACGAGGGTGTGGGAGTACCTTGAGCTGTTGAGCGGGGGTTTGGGCACGACCAAAAGCCCGAAGCCAAGCCACGATCATTCCAAGATAACTACCAAAACTGAAGCCCATTCATGTTGAAGACTTTGGGACTTTGCCTTTCAGCCATTAGCCTTCAACCATATACCATGGCACTCTGCCTTCTACCCCTACACCCTAAAACCCTGAAACTCTAACCCTAACCCTTTCATTACCCTCAAACCCCTAATACTATGGCACTCTGCCTTCTAACCCCAAACCCTAAAGACCCTGAAACTGTAAACCCTGTGCCAGGTCTTCTTCATCCTCGTCTTCTTGGAAAACACCTTAAAAATGTAGAAAAATACTTTTTTGTGTTTTAAAATTTTTAAAAAATTTTAAAAGTTGTTTAAAGTCTTTAAAAGTCTTTCAAAGTCTTTTTAAAGTTTGTAAATGCTTTTAAAAGCTTTTAAAAGTCTTTTAAAGTCTTTTTAAAGCTTTTAAATGTATTTTAATGTTTTTAAAAGTATTTTAAATATTTTAAAAGCCTTTTAAAGTTTTGAAAAGTCTTTTAAAGTTTGCAAAAGTCTTCTAAAAGTTTCTAAAAGTCTTTTAAAGTCTTCTAAAAGTTTTTAGAATGTTTTTTCTTGCATTTGAAAGTTTTTAAAAGTCTGTAAACGTCTTTAAAAGCCAACTCTGTCGAAAAAGCCCTGTGGATCTAAACCTTGTGGTTCTGGTTCGGTGCAAAAGGGCAATGATTAAACCCTTAAACCCTTAAAACTTCAAACCCCTATCTTAAACTACCAAACCCTAGTTTTTCGTAGGTTCTTATTATAAACTTCATAGGGGCCCTACAAAAAGTAGGTTTTGGTGGGTTAAGGTAAGTCCTAAACCCAGGCGTGCAACAGCTGCTTCCTTCACGTCCTGCCCCGAGCCCCCAAACCCCCTTAATTAAGGAATATACCTTAAATTATAATCGGATCCCTACTATTATTTAAGGTATATTCCCTAATTAAGGGGTTTTGGAGGCTCTGGGTGACCTCAATCAGTCGCCTCCTTGCGCAGCCGGCGCCTCCGCGCCCTCGACACGCCCTCGAAAGCGTGAAGATCACGGTGAAGGAGCTGGAGGCTTTTGGGGGTTTAGGGTTTAGGCTTTAAAGGGCTCCTTAAAGGGATCTATAGGGTTCCTTGAAAGGATCTATAGGGTTTTTTAGGGGCTTAGGGGGTTAGGGGTTTAGGAGTTTAGGGGTTTAGGGTCTAGGTCTTGGGGTGTAGGGTTTAGGGTTTAGGGTTTAGGGTGGGAAAGGGTCTGGAAATGTTTAGGGTGAATGCGCAGGAGTCAGGAGGCTATTGGCGTGTTTAGGGTTCAGGGTTTAGGGTGAAGGTGAGCGGGAATTCAGGGTTCTAGGATTACCTACACCGAAACAAACCTGAGCGCGAGTGAGCAGGCTGAGAGATCACAATATCTCTTACTTAAGGAATATACCTTAAATTATGGGGGCCTTGATATTATGGTTTAAGGCATATTCCTTCATTAAGCGGTATTATGCAGGGCAGGCGGCTAAGGGTTAGTTTAGGGGTCGGGAAGCTAAGGACTTGCGGCGATCAGCTGATCCCGACGTTCCCAGCACTGCGGCTTCCACTTTGTGCGCCCAGGTCGATGAGCCCGAAACCCCCGCCCCCGTGCTCTGGGTGGAAGGGGTTCCCAAACCCTCCCGATGAACTGAACTGAGGGAGCCGGAATGCAGAGCCCCACTCCAAAGGAGGTCAGGGGGCTTAGTTTCTTCTTTTCTTGTGCCGAAAGGGCTGCAAGAAGTTTCGGTTTCGAGTCCAGTTTTGTTTTCTGAGCCTCTGCAAACTCCACTAGGCCTCTGTTGGCGCTTGTCCTTTTGCGACAAGTCTACCCCATGCACGGCTGCAGCCTGAAGCTTTGGGTTCTGCAGCGGTGCAGGTGTGCGGGACCCTAATGGGGCCATGTAAGGAGGAGCAGAGGCGGAAGGCCACACTTGCCGTACTCTTGCCTTTGGTTAGTAGGGAATAGGAGAATGGTAGTAATAGTAGGTATAATTGTACCCCATTCCTCCATTCCCTACTAACCAACGGTAAGTTCTTGTCCTGTGCGCGTACTTCTAGTGCCGCACTGTGCTGCACAACTGCACCTCGGGTGAAGTACTATGGGCGGGCCCCTCACACGCGAAAAGCCAGCACGAGTGGACTGAACGGGGCTGCGCCAGAGTAATGTGGGATCGCTCGAAGGCGTCGCATTTGCGAGCAGAACGTTGGCAGCAATGCATCATTCATAGTTTGATTGATGCATCTTGTGGATCAAGGTCTCGGGGAAGTGTCACTGGGAAATGAGAAGTGTTTGAAGGCTCACAATCAGCAACACAGCCGCACATCAAGTGCTTTATTGCTTTATCATATCCCCAGTTGCGGTTCAGAACAGACGCCATGGCGGTCGCAAGGATTTTCAGCTTGCTGGTGTTCTGGCTAATTGCCAGCGCAGGCGCGGCATCTTCCATTCACACAGACCCAGAGAGCCCAATACCCCTTTTGTTAGGGAAGGTACCTTGAACTATAAGGGGGTTCATACTACGATTGAAGCTATATTCCTTAATTAAGGGGTATTGGGCTCTCTGGGGAGGTCTTTGAGTTGTGGGCTTCTTCAAAGAGAGTGCGTCTTCTTCATGGTGAAAGTCGAAGTATCGCAAGTCCCCTAAGCTGCCCTAAGCCCTACCATCTGAGGGAACTCCAAAGGTCCTTGACTTAGGAGTTATGAAAAACATTTTGTTCATATAAAACCTAAGAGAGTAATAACATCACTAGTTTATATATATATATATATATATATATATATATATGGTTCTAAGGGGGGTATGGCTGTGAGCGCGGAGTAGGAGGGATCCTCAGAGCCCCCGGCCTAGAGTCGAAGCCCCAAAAGCCGCCGCAAGGCCTGAACCTCAGAAGGCCAGGGGGCCTTAAATCCTGAACCCCAAGAAACCTGAATCTTAGGTACAGCCCCCATGCAGTAAGAGTCTTTAATAGGGCTACTATTAGGCTCCTAAGATATCTATGTTATGAATATTACTCGACTATTACTGAGTGGGGGCCGTACCCAACCTGAATCCTAAACCCTATCCCAAGCCTAAACCTCAAACCCGTAACCCTAAGCCCCGAACCAAAGAAGCGTGATAGCCGAAACGTGTCAAAAGGAGCACAGCCCTCCCCCCGCCGACGCTCGCCATCACCGTCTCCGATATTTGATGACCGCCGCCGAACTTGGACTGAATTCAAGAGGATAATACAGGGGCCTTAACAATTGGAATAGGGTTTGGTTATAATAAGGAACCCAAGGAATAATGTTGGTAGTCATCTAGGCCCCTGTAATATCGTTGTGATTTTATTCGAGACTTTGAGTTTCCTGGCATGACGCTTCTCGATTCCTCTAGTGTGTTGCCTCCGTCGGTTTAAATAGAGGTAGAGACAGGGGCTGTTGCTTGTGACTTCCCAGAGGAACATCCGTTCTCAACATCGAGTTGCTAGGGATTCCGTGCAACGCGTTTTTGCACCCTCAACGTCCTCAGGTTTAGGTCCTGAGCCCCGTGTCTCTTGTCTTCAATGAGCAAACTCGACACCCTAGATGTCAGAACTTTGAACTCTAAAGCCCAGACCCTAAACCCTAAACCCAGCGCAAAAAACCTACAGCTAACACCCTCAGGCTTCTCCCCATCCCCGTCTCCGTTTGACGACCGCCGCCGAACTTGGACTGAATTCAAGCCCAGTTTTTTTTTTATAAAGTCTGAAGCGGAAACTGTTCGCTTGCTTTATGCGTTTTGCTACATCTCCCAGTCATCCGAGTAAGCTGCAGGTTTCGGGGTTTTAGGGTTGAGGGTCTTCGCTTCAGAGCCCTCGTAAACCCTGAACTCGTGAAGCACGACAATGGATCCACCGGCCGCGAACCCCGAACCCCAAACCCTTAACCCGGAACCCAAACCCATCACATTGCATCAGTTCTCGCCGCTAAACCCCTAAACCCCTAAACCCTACCCTAAACCCTAGACCCCCTGTAGCCCTAAACCCTTAAACCTTAAACCCCTAAACCCCTAAACCCATTAAACCCATTAAACCCTAGACCCTAAACCCCTGTTAATCCCTGGACCCTAAACCCCGTAAAACCCCTATCAAGGAGCCCTGAAGAGTCAAGCCCTGAGCCTCGAACCTCAAGCTTCTCTCACTCTTGGGCATCAGGTTTCGAGTTTAGGGTTCCTAAAGGGTTCCTTACAGGGATTTATGCGGTTCCTTAAAGGGATCTATGGGCTTTGGGGTTTAGGGTCTTCCTGTCGCCGAAAAGACCTAGCTTTTTTTAGGGTTCCTTATTGTGGGTAGGTCTTTTCGGCTGTAGGTAGGGCTTAAGGGTTCAGACCTTCAGGGGTTTAGGGTTTTAGGGTCTAGGGCTCAGGGGTTTTGGGTCCGTAAGTCACAGGCGGCAGTCTAAGTCTAGGTCTTCGGCTTTAAGGCTTAGGTTTTTACTTGATATTACTTGATGGCTTAACCATCAGAATCGGAATGGGGTTTCGGGGTACCCTAAACCCTAAACCATAAACCCTAAACTCTAAACCCTTAGCCATAGTTATAGCACGGAGCTACAAGGAGTCAGGCCCTAAACCCCGAAGCCTGGAGTTTGCAATAGTACACTATTACCCTTATAGTAGCCCCTTAAAGGCCCCTTCAAAGGAACCCTAGGGCATAGCTCTTGTCGATTCCCCGTCGTTCTTAGGCAGAAATCCATTTGTGCAGCGCTTGAGCTCCTCTTGAAGCAGCAAAGCTGGCGCTCTAAAAACCCTCAAGAGCAGAGCTTTTCCCCTAAACCCTAAACCCTAAATCCTAAATCCTAAACCCAACCCAGGCTTCTCCCCATCCCCGTCTCCGTGGGACGACCGCCGCCGAAGTTTCGACGACCGCCGGCGCTATTCGCCCTACGTACCCCCGCCGCTCTGCCTTCGTAGACGTAAGGTTTAGGGTTTAGGGGTTCTGTAAGGGATCTATAAGCGGCTATCCCCAAGGGGTTCTATCGAAGTTCAAGGTTTGGGGCTTTTAGGCTTGTGAAGGTTTTTAGATAGAAGGATTTATGTTTCAGGGTTCAGGGTCTGAGGATCTTTCCTTGTAGGGGTACTAATGATGAGGATCCCACACTTGGGTTTACGGTTTGGGGTTAGTTAGTTCACTGAAGTAATGTATCATGTACAGTGTCTAGTATTTAGCATATTAGAGTATTTGCTATATAGTCGGAGTATGAGTAGTTCTCTAAATCACAGTCCCTTCAGGGTCTTTATATAAGGGTGCCGTATGACTTCTGGGACCTGAAAAGAGACCTTAATGTACAGAACTACACATATACATGCGGCTTTAAGTAAATAGTATATTACATAGCTTGAGGATCCACCATTTTGATGGTCTTGACCACCCGTCTGCTGAACCTGTTGAGACTACCGTGGTCTTCTGTCGGACGGCAGTTGCAAGATGGAGAGCCCGAAGCCCTAAAGCTGGCATCCTAAACAAAAGTGTTACTTAAAGGATCATGGGACTTAGTAACTGTGTTTATAATTAGGGTAACTATACTTATAACCGCACTTAGGGTACTTATAACCTTACTTACTAAGTCCCACGATCCTCCAAGTAGGGTTTAGGATTGAGGGTTTCCCGGTCCCTCAACCCGATCTCCACCCGTATGTCACCGAAGGTAGGAACCTGATTAAGAAACCTTGAGCCTTCATTAGGGCTCCCTCTTTGAATCCTACTATTTTGGTGGTTCTAGGCCCAGGGTTTCTTAATCAGGTTCCTACATCAGTAAGTAACCAGTGCTTTCCAAGTAGGCTCAGAAGCTCCGGAAGCCCTACACCCTAAACCCTAACTCCAGAAGGTTAGAAGAGTTTCCGAGTGCTACAGCACAATACATTTCATGTCATCTCAGGAACATGCGGGTCTTCTGAAGGGTTGTGCTACTATAGAATCTTAAGCAATTAGCCGCATCATTATTCCTTCTGTGTTACTTCTGTGGCCGGGGGTTGCAGGATCTTCACAGATTCTTTCCCGTTCAGGGTTTAGGATTCGATGAGTTGACTCTCATCCTGTTTGGGGTTCAGGGTTTCAGGTTAAGGGTTTAGGAGTCCGGGTTTAGGGTTTGAAGTTGGGGATGCTTGAGGTCTGTGTGGGTGCCTCCACAGTGTCTTTTTGGCAGGAGAGAGTGTCATAGGAGGCCAGAAGGGGTTTTTAGCCTATGGGGGTTTAGTAGGGATTAGGGTTCCCACAATAGGGTTCATATTAAGGAATCCCTGCGCCAAGAATCTTAAACCCCCCTTGTGGCCTCCCATCAGAGTGCGATGGGTGTGATGTCCTGTGATGTGTCTTGTACTGCCGTCTCGAAGTGGGAGCCCTTTAAGAACCCTACCCTGAGCCCTATACCCTATCGTCTTGATCGGGTATCCGGGCCCGGGACCCTCGAGATGGGTTCGTTGTTGCGGAATACTGCAGGGGCCTGAACAACTAGCCACTACTATTCTGGGGGTCCCTTCCTTCGAAATAAAGTATAATGGGCTCCAAAACCCGATTCTACTTGCTAAGGCCCCTATAATTATTACTGACAGCGTGGAGATTGTGGGATTTCGAACCCCCTGCGACTCTGCATCCTGAAATCCTCAAGCCTCGAACCCCTCAAACCCAGAAGGCCCTCCCCAAACCCCAAGCCCCAAACCCTAATCCCTAAACCCTAAGCCCCAAATCCTAAATCCTAAACCCTAAACCCTGAATCCGAAAACCCTGATCCCCAACAACTTGAAGCCCCTCAAGACCTTCCGTCTCCATCTTCGAGGTCACCGCCACCGCCCGTCTGCCCACCGAACTGCCTGATGTGTTCGGTGTCAGGCGCTGAGCATGCCTACCATAGAGGCTCTCATAATTACCTAAGGGTTCCTTTTAAAGGGGTCTTTCAGGATGAACTACCCAGACCCCCGGGATCTAGAAAGTAGATCTCCTAATTTGGGGCCCCATACTACTAAGGGTACTTTGTAGGAACCCCCGTTAAGGGATCTACTTGTTGGATCCTCCCGAGGCCCTCAGGGTTCCTTTTACAGAGGTCTTTCAGGATTACTCTAAGGGTATTATGGGGGTTCAGTATACCTCTGAGCATGGGGGGTTAAATACTTACCGATACATTTCGGTGGTTCGTCATTAGTAAGTACATTATCACTGGCCCAAAAACCCTGGTCTAATTATCAAGGCCCCTATATTCGCAGGCTTAGAAGGGTGTTCCTTTTTTCATGTTGCGTGTCGGGAAAAGGGGGGAGACTTGTTGGGGGTGTAGAAGGAATGGTTTCACAGGGCCACTGTAAGTTGCCATTTAGGGTTTAGGGTTTAGGGGTGGAAGACATGTGCTGTAAGTTGCCATTTAAACTTGTTTAGTTTGTTGTGGGCTTTCCTTCGTGGTACCGCAAAGTAAGATCATTGAGGCGTAGAGTTCAGGGTTTTGGGTCTGAAGCTCTTTAGGGTTTCAGGCTCAGGGATTGAAAGATTGCCGTCTAGGATATCGGAGTAGGGATCGGGCTCAGAATGGCCTAGGGTGTAGGGTTTAGAGAATAGTAAGGTGTATGGTCTGTCTCGGCTTGTGTTAACTATACTTACTCTTCCCTCTTACCCAGGGTTTAGGGGTGGTTTGGGGTGGAGCGTTCGAGGCCCGAACGACGTCTACTGGGAGGCTTCGGGTTGAGGCTTTGGAAAAGGTCGAAGTCTAAACTCCAAAACCCTAAACTATACCCTAAACCCTAAACTATACCCTAAACCCTAAACCCTAAACCATACCCTAAGCCCTAAACCCTAAACCCCGAAACTATACCCTTAAAAAAACCCTAAGGTAGACCCTAAACCCTAAACTATACCCAAAACCCGAACCCGAACCTCCTGATGGCAAAGCTCAAACCCGCAGGTCAACGTCCCAATTTCCCGGCAATCGTAGCTTCCCACCCCGCCAGCTCCCGGAGACTTGAATAGACTGGTGACAGCACTAGCCGCAGAAAGCTTTAGCTCCAGCTCTCTCATCTCTTTCCACAGCCCTAGGTTCTGGCCGTCAGGCTACAAGTTATGATAGTAGTGACGATGATGTAGGGGTGAGGTTTAAGGCTTTAGGTTTTAAGGTTTCAGGGCTTAGGGCTCATCATTCTCGTCTCTGCCCTCACGATAAGCATCGTGTTTGAGCAGGAAATGGTAGCACTCAGTGGACTAACCGTTCAGGTCTGTGACTTCGCAGCAGTGAGACCGTACTCTAAACCCCACCCTAAGCAGACATAGCCGACTGAGGAGCTCCATGTGCGACGTCTGCAAGACCGGCTACAACCTGACCCGCGACAAGGGGAAGGGGGACGGGGGTAGCGTATCCGTCGTTGAGGTTTCCTCTAAACCCGAAGCCTCCTAAACCCCAAACCGCTGAACCGTAAACAACCATATAGAGGACCCCAAACCTGTAATACACCCTCAGCCCTACAAGCCCTACAAGTCTTAAGCCTTAAACCCTAAACCTCAACTTCAGGCCCTACAGATCCGAAGCCCCTGCACACCGTAAACCCTGACCCCTACACCCACAACCACAACCCCCCCCTAAACCCCAAACTTAAGCCCTGAACCCCATAAGCCCGAAAACTTGGCCGGTTCATGTGTTGAGGAGCTCGGGTGTTGAGGTTCGGGATTGTTCGGTACTGAGGCCGCAGCTTCTGAATCCAGCGGTTTAGGATCAAGGTTTTACGGTTTAGGGTTTAGGGTTTAGGGTTAGGGTTTAGGGTTTAGGGTTTAGGGTTTAGGGCTTCGGGGTTCTATGATCTTCAGTTTTCTGGGGTTCCAGACAAGATCTGTGAAGGGGTCCGTGAGGGTTCTATAAGGCCTTGTGTTTGTGATCTTCGTCGGACTAGTCCGTTAGATTCTGATTACCTTATGACCTCTTGGTCAAACCCGAACCATAAACCCTAAACCCTAAACTCTAAACCCTAAACCCTGAACCCTAACCCTAAACCAAAAACCCTAACCCTAAATCCTAAACCCTAAACTCTAAACCCTAAACGTAACACTAAACCTAAACCCTTCAGCATGTGCCCGCTGGTGTAGCTGTTGGTGCTACGAGGGCCATGGCCCCTGGTGTCACCAATTTCCGTCTGATGAACCTGCGATGATTAATGTAGGGGTTTAGGGTTTAGAGTTTAGGGTATAGGGGCTTAAATAGCTACAAGCCCCGTACGTATACTGCGATGCTGAGTCATGATTGGTCAGTCGCATAAGCAGGGTTTTCAGAAGGTTATAGCGTAAGCCTAAACTCTTACCTCGATATGGGTGGCTGTCAAAATTCTGGTCCCTTTTTGGGTAGCCGTATTTCAATCAGGACCCAAAAAGGGACCCTCATATTGACAACCACCCATATAGGGGGCCCAAGCTTCTAATTTCAGCCTCACAACCTAGTTTTCTTACCTTTGGTTAGTCGGGAATGGAGCGAGTGGGGTACAGTTATAGCTACTATTGCTGCCATTCTTCCATTCCCTACTAACCAAAAGTAAGTAATTTCATCCTCACAACCCACTTCGATGAAGATCCTTGTACTTCTTTTCGGGATCTGAAATCGGTGTTCTGCACCATAGCTTTATCTGTGGCCCACCCAAAAAGACCTACCTTAGTGAGGAACTATATATATATGTATATATATATATAACCTATATAGGTATATATATATATATACCTATATATATATATAGATATATAGATAGAAACCATGAAGTATTGTCCGCTAGAGATAACTCTAAACCCTAAATCATGGATTTAGGCTTAGGGTCTAGGGTTTTCAGGAACTTGCTGTTCCGCACGTGCGAGCCCTGCGCGCCTCACTGCAAAGAGCAGCGCCCTCAGAGTCGTCCGGTCTCTACTTGGAGGGGCAGGGGACTTAGTAAGTAGGTTATAAGTAGGGTTATAATGGGGGGTAGCTCTGCGTAGGGTACGTATAATTCTACTCAGACTCATAACCTACTTACTAAGACCCCTGCCCCTCCAAGTAGGTTCTGTTCTTTGTGAATTCTGCATGTGTTTAGGGGTTTAAGGTTGTAGGTTTTATGGTTTAGCGACATGGGTCAAGCGGTTGAGGGCTTAGGGGATCTATTTCTGTTCTACATGGGTTGTGTGGGGGTTCTGTCACGATGCCTCTGCACAGGTTCCAGAAGCATCTTTTGGGAATAATTCGAAACGCTAAACGATGCAATAAGCCCTAAGCCCTAACCGTGAACCCTAATCCATAAAGCTATTGCCTAAACTCCAGACCCTAACCCCCAATGCCTAAACCCGAAGCCAAAAATTCTGTGAGAATGAGGTGCATGCTGGCAAAAGCTGGATCTTGTGATAACGATGGCTGCGACTCCGGCTATACGATAGCTTCCTGCCTGCACTTAAAGCATACAGGTTGGAATGAGGTTTTTCGAGTCCTTGAGGTAAAAGGTTCCCGGAAAGACATCGGTCTGTATGCAACAGCTTTTTTCCGGCACTTTGAGTACTATACGGGCCTTAAAAGTTTGAAAACGTAGGAGTTCGTAGGGGTTCCTCTGCAGTTTGCTATTGAGGGTTTTGTAGTCGGGGCCTTCAATAGTGAAACCATATTAGGGAGTCTGCCTGCTGTTATCTTGGACTCCTGGACATTTGTAAAATAAGTAGACGGATATTGTATGGGGCTGTTTAGGTTTAAATTTAGAGTTAGACAGGGGTTTTCCTGCAAGACAAAGGCTCTGACCAGGCTCATTTTAGAGGAGGCTTTTGTCGACAATGTTTTCTGTTAGACAAGGCACGGCGTCATGCAGTGGCTTTCTTTGCCAAGGTTTTCCTCTAGACAAGGGCTTCGTCATACGAGTTTATGACTCTTAATTGCTTTGAAGCTTAGTTGGGTCTCCTCGGCTTGGTTTGGCTTGTATACACACCCATTCTGGTTTGCACAAGTTTGACAAGGATGCCCAGTAGTACCCTTATTCCTTTTTTGTAGTCCTAGGTTCCTTATAAAGTTACCCAATGCCAAAAAGAGAGGCCTTTTTATTCTTAGGTTACTGGGTATTCTAGTTGAGCTCGGCAAGTTGAATTAGCAAAACCGAACTTCACGTCTGCACTCGAGCAGCTTGTCAGTAAAGCATACTTGGAGGGTCGGGGGACTTAGTAACTGGCTATTTGAAGGACTTATAAGTACCTTAACCCCAATTAGGGTCCCTTTTAGGGTACTTATAAGTCTACTTCCTACCTACTTACTAAGTCCCTCGACCCTCCAAGTAGATTTAGCGGCTGCGATTTACAGCAGAATTTCGGCTGGCAAGGAAGCCGCGAAGCAGTACGTTTCTCTATCAGAACGTGTCTTGCTTCAGCCACACCTATCGAAAGGGCGTTAGACTTTGTACGCTGCAGAGCCATTGCAAAGCCTTATGATATCATTTAGCAAGGAACCGTTCGATTGAAGGCATATGCTCTCGACACCCGCCTAAGACCCTGGCACCAAACCCTCAGCTTTAAGCACGCAGCCCGAAGACACTAAACCCTAAACCTGGTGATATCGTACGGCTCGTGGCTTGGGGCTTTGGGTGGCGGGTGGTAGCACTGCAGCTAAACCCTAAACGCTACGCCGCACTGCCCTACAGTACGAGTGGCAACCGTTGGAGAAGCTGGCACCTGCTTAAACACTGCTTTGTGTTCTGTGATATGTAGGATTGGGGGCATATTCTGTAGATTTACTAAGGAAACAGAGTTTTCAAGCAAACTCCCAACCTGGTAAAGAACCCTCCAAGTGGCCACATAAAAGGCCCTAACGCCTAAACCCTCAAAACCCAAAACCCTAAACTGAGAAGGCCTTTATAGGATGGTGATCTTGGTTTCTACATGGGTGGTTGTCAAAATTAGGGTCCCTTTTTGGGTACCTTAAATAGTAGGTGCCGTACTATAATAAGGACCCCAAAAAGGGACCCTAATTTTGATAACCACGCACATGGCTTTGGGGCCTAAGAACGGATCCCGAGACCGAGGTCTCAGGTTTAGGCCTTCTCGGGTTTCGGGCCTCGGGCCTCTGGTTTGGGGTTTTAGGGTTTCGAGTTTTTGGATTTAGGGTTTCGGACTTTTGGGTTTAGGGTTCGAGGGTTTTGGGGTTTAGGGTTCGTGCCCCATCCTAATGTCTAGGCACTCAAGAGCACTGCCCAAGGTCAAAAACACCAGCGCCTCTTATGGTGGCCTGTGTGAGCCCTGCGCTTCCAATTGCAACGCTTGCGACAGTGCCTGGTCTCTGCAGATACTATTGTTGCTACGATTATTGCGAAAATTACCATGATTACTATGATAATACAATACTGTTACTATTACTACTATTCTTAATACTATGCTTGCTATTCGTACAACTTTGCTTTACGGTCGTGATGATGTAGTGAATGGCCGAGGGGTGTGAAGATAGGCGCTTTGAAGTGGTTGCTACGGCCATTATGGGCGTTGTAGCAAGGTGTGTAAGGGCCCAGTTAGATGGGCTTTCTGCAGCCGCGATGGATATTTTGGAAGGTGCTTCCGTGCAGTGTCTACACCTCAATGTGGGTGGTTGTCAAAATTGTGGATCCTTTTGGGGTCCCTATTATAATAGGGCACCTAATATTTACGGTACCCCAAATGGGGTGTGGTTTCTGCTTCAACTGAGGCTGCAGGGCTCGATCAGACATCCTCAAGTTGACAATGTATTTCTAGCTTTTTGCAGTGGTTTCGTGCTGGACATACTGCTGATGAAAAAAATCCTGCATTGCCTTAAGGACCCTACACTATGGGAATAGTGGCATGTTCCTTATTAAGGGTAGTGTAGGGTTTATATCATCAACCGTAGGATTGAAAGTTCCGGCTGAGGTACACCTCTATGGGAGTTCGGGAGTTTCCGAAAATAGGGGACCCCGATATGGTACGCTAAATAGTAGGATCCTTATTATAAAGACGCCCTAAAACAAGGTACCCCCTATTTTCGGAAATTCCTATATAGCCGGAGCTGACACGCACGCTCCCTATCCAGCTCTAAACTCCCCTTTTTGGCTACCCTAAATAGTAGGGTTTAAGGTTTAGGGTTTAGGGTTTAGGGTTTAGGTGCCGTATTATCCACACCTAAGCTAAATTGAACCCAGTCAAACCACGTCGTATGATACAACAACTACCTTCAGGGCATGCACATGTGGGCGTTTCAGGGGACCCTAGTATCAATCCCTAAATGAATCGATCGGTCTTACAACGACCCGCAAGTAAGGTACACTGGTTCTTTGAGGCTTATCCCCTTTTGAGAAAACCTTATGTTGCTCTTTTTCTATGAGCCATGGTAGGGCTGAGGTTTCAGGGTCGCAGCTTAAGGGTCTTGTGTGAGCCATCGGCTTTGCGATGTACTCTTCTTTGACGAAGTTGGAATAGGTGCTTATTGGGAACCAAAATGAACAAAGCCATAAACCCCTAAACCCCCAAACCATAAACCCTAAACCCTAGCCCCAAGCCCTGAACCCTAAACTATGCTTGCAGAGATGTGGCATTGCATCATCAATCGTAAGTTCCCAGAGCGAGGAGAGCCAAATCATCAGATATTAGGGCCTGCGTAATTAGCAACAGTGTCCCCTATGGTCCAGGAGCTTTCGTTTGGTTGTGGGTGCCTTTTTTTGCTGTGGGTGCTCCAGGGCGGCGGGCAGCAAGTTAGTGAGTGAACTCGGCGCGCACATGCTGCAAACAAAAAACCGTGCCACAGCCATTACCCGCATTTTTTTTGTTGTGTGGGTGCTTGTTTGCTGCCACGCACCCGCAACAAAAAAACACGTCGCGCACCGGCAGCAAAAACCTACTGACAACAGAGAAACTAACACTCTTACTCCTATGGTCCGTACATACTTCCTCCGCCCCAAACAAAGCCATGCTCCAGTTATTACGTGAGATCTTCATGTTTCCAGTATGATTCGAAGCAAAGCAGCACTTGAAGCCATGCTCCTCAATCGAGGGGTACTTGGAGGATCATGGGACTTAGTAAGTAAGGTTATTAGTACCTTAAGTGGGGTTATAAGTATAGTTACCCTAATTATAACCCTAGTTACTAAGTCCCATGATCCTTTACGTATTGGGCTCTTTGTGTCCTGAGTCGAAGCGCCAGCTTCAGCACCCATAGCCCTAAGCCATAAATCGTATCTACTTACCAACTTATCTATCTATCTATTTCTATCTGTGTATATATATATATATATATCTATATATATATATACATATATATATATATATGTATATATAGATAGACAAATGTATACCAAACCCTAAACCCTAAACCATTTGTCGGAGGTGCAGGCCCAAGCAAATGCGACAAGGGCAAATGCTGGACACGCTACGCCAACAACGGGACCGGGGTTTAGAGCTTGCGGCTGTTATACTACCCTTGACCCTAAAACCCTAAATCTCAAGATCCTAAATACTTAAATCCTGATTTTTTTAAAAAAGATAAAAAAAGTAAATCCTAAGACGCTAACCCTAAAACCCTCAACCCTAAACCCTACTGTAAACCCTTCCTCGACATTTCCGAATCTTTTGGGCTTGAGTCCTTTGGGGCTGGTGTTCGGGATTTGAGGTTAAAGACGTGGTTCGGGGTTCCGTTTAGGGTTTAGGGGTTTAGGGTTTAGGGTTTAGGGTTTAGGGTTCCGCCTCATAGCTTTCAGGATGTGCTCGGGGTTCTTGAACTCGTAAGCTAGGTTACTTTAGTTGCAATCTCTTAATATTTTGGGGTGTTTCGGGCGGGTGCGTATCTTTTGTGTGTAAGTGTATTATTAGTGTCATGATTTTGTAGCAGAGCGAAACGCAATCGCGAGGTTGAAACTTAAAGGAACTGACGGAACGGCATCACCAGGAGTGAAACTTACCAGGTCCAGACATAGTAAGGATTGACTGATTGATAGCTCTTTCTTGATTCTATGGGTGGTGGTGCATGGCCGTTCTTAGTTGGTGGAGTGATTTGTCTGGTTAATGCCGTCAACGAACGAGACTTTAACCTGCTAAGTAGTTACATGTAACCTTGGTTACATGGGCAACTTCTTAGAGGGACTTTGTGTGTCTAACGCAAGGAAGTTTGAGCGAAAATCACTAAACCGTTAGGGGCCGGCCCATGTGCGACAGCGCAGTATTCTGTGGGTTCTTTGCAGAAGCGAAGGCGAAGTGAATGGGAATTCGGACCCATTAACTTCAGCTTCTTGCTTTGCCATGATCTACCGACAGCAAATCTGACCGGCAATGCCAAAAATCGCCGAAGCCTCGAAATCAACCAACAGTTTGCCGAAATATGATTGGATATCCGTCCGCTTTATACAGGGAGTTGACCTGTACGCCATACTGCGCTAGCGAACCGAAAACTGCTCTAAAGTCTGAAGCCCTAAACCTTACACCTTTAAACCCCACGTCGTTAACTCTTGTTTGTCAAGCCTTATAGTAAAAGCCAGAAAGTTGGAATATGATTATCCTAAGCCCTTTATGGTAAATTATAAGGTATCCTACCCTGAAACCATATTCCAACTTTCTGGCTTTTACTTTGAGCCCATAAAGCGTAAGCCGTCCCCTGAACCGCAAGGAGCATCCTTTGAGCCCCAAGCCGGCACTTGATAGAGTCGGCCCGAAACAAGAAGACAGAACTTTGAGCGGGAAGTATATTACATAGTTTATCGAAGTTCTGAAGACACGTGGCGTATGGTTTCTAGTATAAGAGGAGGGGTCTTGACGGCCAGGAAACTGACAACACGACGACGTTGTGACGCCGGCACGGCGACGATGCGACAACGGTCCGGCGGCGGTGTGACGACGACACAGCGACAACGCGACGACGATGCGACAACGATGCCACGACGGTGCGACGACAATGCGACGACGGCGCGACGAGCATGCGACGATGCTGCGCGAAATGGACACGACAGCGACGGCAACCAAGACAACGACCTGACGACCTTGCGACGACACGCCGACGATGCGAAGACGCTTTGGCAACGCTTATTTAGGTTTTATGACGGATGGACGGAAGCTGCGCGGCGGACAGACGACGGATGTGCGGCGGAGGCGCGACGGCAGTGCGACGGACGCGCCATAGACGGACGACCGAAGTGCGTCCGTCGCGCGTCTGTTGTGCATCCGCTGCGCCAGTGTCGTCTGTCCGTCCCGCGCCCACCGTCCATCCGTCATAAGGCCGAAATAAGGCTTATTTCGGACGGATGGACGATGGGCGCAGGACGGACAGACGACGGATGCGCGACGGTCGCCCGTCCGCTGCGCGTCCGTCGTCTGTCCGCCGCGCAGCCGTCATAAGACCGAAATAAGCCTTATTTCGGCCTTATGACGGATGGACGGCGGCTGCGCGGCGGACACACGACGGATGCGTAACGTGGCGGCCCGCCGCGCGTCCGCCGCACCTCCGTCGCGCATCCGTCATCTGTCCGCCGCGCAGCCGCCGCGCGTCCGTCATAAGGCCGAAATAAGCCTTATTTCGGCCTTATGACGGATAGACGGCGGCTGCGCGCGGACAGACGACGGATGCGCGACGGTGGGCCGTCCGCCGCGCGTCCGTTGTCTGTCCGCCGCGCAGACGCCGCGCAGCCGTCATAAGGCCGAAATAAGGCTTATTTCGGCCTTATGACGGATGGACGGCGGGTGCGCGGCGGACAGACGACGGATGCGTGACGGATGTGCGGCCCGCCGCACCTCCGTCGCGCATGCGTCATCTGTCCGCCGCGCAGCCGCCGCGCGTCCGTCATATAAGGCCGAAAGAAGCCTTATTTCGGCCTTATGACGGATGGACGGCGGCTGCGCGTGCGTCATATGGCCGAAAAATGCCTTATTTCGCCTTATGACGGCTGGACGGCCGGCGTGCGACGGACAGACGACGCTCGCGTGGCGGATGCACGACAGGCGCGCGACGACGTGGTCGTCGCTCCGTCGTCGTCGTGTCGTTGTAGCGTCGTCGTCGCATCGTTGTCCTGTCGTCGTCGCGTCGTCGTGCTGTCGTCGTCGCGTCGCCGTCCTGTCGTCGTCCGCCCGTCGTCGTGGCATCGTCCACCCGTCGTCATGGCCTTGTTCCTTTGTCGTCAGCTGCCAAAGTCAATGGCGTCAGCTTTTTGCTTAACGACTTACACATACCTGTAGACCAAGATAATACATAGTGTGTTATAGCATGTTATAGCATATTCGAGTATATTAGTTAATGTTTTTGAAAAAAAAACTATTTTGTAGTACAGTACAGTATAGTGTATAATAGTATATTATAGGATAAAAACACATTTGGTATGTTGTAGTATATTGTAGTATATTGTAGTATATTATAGTATATTATAGTATATTATAGTAAGTATAGTATATTCTAGTATATTATAGTATATTATAGTATATTATAGTATATTATGGTATATAATAGTATATAATAGTATATTATAGTATATTACAGTATATTAAAGTATATTATAGTATATTAAAGTATATTATAGTGTATTATGGTATATTATGGTATATTATAGTATGTTATAGTATATTATCGGACATTATCATATTTTATAACACGTTTTAGTAAGTTATGGTATAATACAGTATATCATATATATTATGCTATATTTTGTTATATTCTATTGCATTGCATTATTTTATGTTATGTTATACCATGTTGTATCATGTTACATTATGCTACATTGTGTTTTACTATGTTGTATCATGTTGTACCATGTTGTATTATGTTATATTGTGTTGTATTATGTAATATTATGTAATATTATGATGTATTATGTTGTATTATGTTATACGGTGTTATACTATGTTCTGTTTTGTTATATTATGCTGTATTATGTTTCATTATGCTATGTTATGTTTTATTGTGTTTATTATGTGACAGTATGTTAGATTATGTTATGGTATTTTATACTATGTTATATTACGCTATGTTACGTTATATTATGCTATATTTCGTTACATCATGTTGTATTATGTCATATCATGTGATGTTATGTTATATTTTTCGTTATATTATGTTATATCATGTTATATTATGTTATATTATGTTGTATTATGTTTTATGTTATTTCGTTGTCCTGTCTGGTCTTGTCTTGTATGGTATTGTATTGTATATTACAATACATTCTCGTAAGTTATGGCACATTAACTAGGCAGGCCTTTGGGACATTTTGTATCTTCCCCTAGTGGGCTTAAGAGGATCCCGTTTACGACTAGTTTTCAGAGGCTTGGAGAGGGCCAGCCTAGAAAATGATAGAACTCTGAGCTGTAAGCTTGGTTCAAGGCCTGGAACTGTGGGTTGAAGTTTTAGTTTCCAGGTTTCGCGTTTCAGTGTTTCGGGTTCAGCTCTGGGGTTTAGGGTTCAGTTTTACGGATTAGGGCGTGGACTTTGGAGTCCAATGTTAGGCTACGGCTAATGGCTCTGAACCCTAAGCCCCAAAGAGCAGGACGATCTGTTCTGCTTGTACTTCGAGCCTGGGCCGCGAAGACGCCATCTGAGCCTGTCGGGTTCAGGGTTGCAAGGGTTTGGCCTACAATTTTTTTTGTACTCCGGTTGATGATATAAATCCTGCATTGGCTTCAGGACCCTAAACTATGGGAATTATGGTATATTCCTTATTATGGGTAATGCAGGATTTATATCATCAACCGTCCCTTTTCGGGTTTGGCAAAATTTGCATGCAGGCTCGTAAACGGTAGCCAAGAAAGGAACTACAATGTGGACTATGGGTAGGGTTCGGCTCCTGCCCGTGTAACCCTCAACCACAAAGCCCTAAACCCTAAACCCCAGACCCTAAACCCTAAACTAAACCGAACCCTAAACCCTAAACCCTAAACCGTTGCACAGCTGTGGGGCTTGGTGCCTGGAGTCTTCAGGTAGCAGCGGTCACGGGTTAAGTTGGGTGTAGGCAGGGTTCGTTTTGGGTTTAGGGTTGTCCTATGTCTTTGGCTTTGAGATTTCGTTTCGTGCAGCAGGAGACAGTCGCTAGATCCTGAAACTCTAAACAATATGCTGCTGAACTTGCGGGCAAACCCGTTTGTGATACAACCGCGACTGTGAAAACGGTGCTGTGCCCAGCACGGTTTTTGGGCTTGAGGATTTCCGTTGCGACATTCACCCACTTGGGAGTTTCCGAAAATAGGGGGACCCTAATATAGTACCCTAAATAGTAGGATCCTTATTACAAGACCCCAAAATAAGGTACCCCTATTTTCGGAAACTCCCACTTGGGTTTGGGGCTTGAGAGTTTGGAGGATTGAAGCAGGGCTTAGGGTTGAGGTTCACCTGTTTTAAACCGTACTTGGAGGGTCGGGGGACTTAGTAAGTAGGTAGTAAGTAGACTTATAAGTACCCTAAAAGGGACCCTCATTGGGGTTATGGTACTTATAAGTCCTTAAAATAGCCAGTTACTATAAGGCCCCCGACTCTAAACCGTAAGCCCCAAATCCGAAGATTTTGAAGGAGCCAGGAAGCTGGGACATGCCCCGAGATGCTCCCAAGTGTTACGCAAGATCCATCCTATGCGTCAGAATTGAGACCGATATACCTAACCCTAAACCCTAAACCCTCAAACCCCTAAATACGAACCCTCATTTTAACCCTTCAGGTTTCAGCCCCAAAGCTTTAGGGTTTAGGGTTTAGGGTTTAGGGTTTAGGGTGTAGGGTTTAGGGTTTAGGGTTTAGGGTTTAGGGTGTAGGGTTTAATGCTATAACCCATTAACAGAACCTTAACACGACTTTGACCCCGAACCCTTGTAGATGCCTTGTAGAACCCTTAGCAATACCTTTAAAGGACTTTGGTCCTAATCCATCAAAGCCCCAAAGATCCCGCCTAGCATCCTTAACAACCTTGAAACGGCTCTGATCCTAGATTAAGGCCCTTGTACTATGGCATTTGGGCCATAAAGCCCCCTACATTACCCCAAATAGCTCAGAACCCTGAACCCTAAAGCCCAACCGTGGCCCTGACAACGACCCTGATCCCAATCCCTTAAAGCCCAAGGAGCTGCAAGACATGCTCCACCTTCTTGGATCCCTTGCATCCCTGATATCTTAAGCCCTAAACCTTAAATCCCAAAATCCGAAAACCCCTAAACAGCACCCCTTGAAAACCCAAGGAGCTGCAACAAATGCTCCACAGCTGGGGCTGGCAGCTGCGACAAGGGCTCTTGTGCTCTTTGTCTGCAGGATCAGAGTTTTTATACAAAGTTTCAATTTGCTAGGATGCCCAGTAGTACCCTTATTCCCTTTTTGTAGTCCCAGGTTTTTAGAAAGTTACCCCATACTAAACAGAGAGGCCTTTTTAGTCTTAGGTTACTGGGTATCCTAGTTTGGGTTTGGGGTCTTAATTCTTAGGGTTTAGGTTGCAGGGTTGTAGGGTTTAGGATTGGAGAGTTTGGGGTTTAGGGTTGTGGGGTTTAGGTTGCAGGGGTCAGTCATGGGATTCGTTTCAGGAACCCAAAAAAAGGACCACTTAGTTCTCCAACAGTACCCTGGTGCTTTTCTTGAGGTCTGGTACACTTCCCCTTGGACCTTAAACCCAAGGCCTAAACCCAAGCCCTAAACTGTAACCCCTAACCTCTACACCCTAAACCCATACCATTAAGGGAGTATTCGGAAACCTCGTCTTCCGCCTCACAGCCCAGACCTTCTAAAATCCCTTAATTAAGGAATATACCTTAATTCATATTAGGGATCCTACTATAATTTAAGGCATATTCCTTAATTAAGGGGATTTTGGAAGGTCTGGGAAGGCCCCTATGAAGTCCCATGATCCTTTAAGTAGACCCTAAATCCTAAACCCTATAGATCCCTTTAAGGAACCCTATAGACCCTATAGATCCCTTTAAAGAGCCGGTTAAGAACCCTATAGATCCCTTTAAGGAACCCTCCCTAGGCCCTAAACCCTTGCGAGACCCTGACTTGGAGGATCAGGGCTTAAGTTCCTTTAAGGGCTGCTTAAAGGGATCTATAAGGTTCCTTAAAGGGATCTATAAGGTTCCTAAAAAGGATCTATAAGGTTCCTTAAAGGGATCTATGGGGTTTAGGGTTTAGGGTCTACTTGGAGGATCAGGGGACTTAGTAAGTAAGGTTATCAGTACCCTAATTGGGGTTATCAGTAATTATAAGTATGGGCTACCTACCCTAGTTACTAAGTCCCATGATCCTTTAAGTAGACCCTAAACCCAAAACCCCATACATCCCTTCAAGGAACCCTATAGATCCCTTTAAAGAGCCCTTGAAGAACCCTTACTACCTCCCATGATCCTTTAAGTAGACCCTAAACCCTAAGGATCCCTATAGATCCCTTTAAAGAGCCAAATAAGAAAACCCCTACTAAGTCCCATGATCCTTTAAATAACCCTAAAGCCCCTCTTATAATAGAGCCCTTATAGATCCCTGTAAAGGGACCCTTTCAGGAACCCTTACTAAGTCCCATGATCCTTTCAGTAGACCCTATAGATCCCTTTAAAGAGCCGGTTAAGAACCCTTACTAAGTCCCATGATCCTTTAACTAGACCCTAATCCCCCTGATAGAAACCCTATAGATCCCTTTAAAAGGAGCCTTTTAAGGAACCCTATAGTTACTAAGTCCCATGATCCTGTAAGTATAAAAAGATGATTCAAACGAACCCGCAAGCCGAGGACCCGCGCTTCACCAACAACGGCACCCTGCGCCTGGGACGGGCTTTGAGGGCGATATGAGGGGGTCTGAAAAAGGTAGTAGTAGTAGTAGTAGTAGTAGTAGTAGTAGTAGTAGTAGTAGTAGTAGTAGTAGTAGTAGTAGTAGTAGTAGTAGTGGTAGTAAACGCTGCCCCGTGGGAAGGAAAAAATAAACAAGAACCCAACCCCCCAAAGGGGTTTGGGAAGAAAGCGGAGGTGCGCAGCCTGCAGTGACTGGTGCCAATCCTGCGACACCTCGGGCCCCAAGCGCTGCGATAATTGCAGGGGTCCCAGAAAATCGAAACAAGTTTGGTGCTTTGGGGGTTTGGTCTTTAGAGTTCAGGGTTAGGGAAGTTTGGGGTTTTGGGGGTTTGGTCTGCAGAGGTCAGGGTTGAGCGAAGTTTGTTTTTTTTTTTTTTTTTGGGGGGGGGGGTTCGGGCTTAACATTTGTGGTTTGGGAGTTTTGTTGGGTTCACGCGTTCGGAGCTTTTCGGGTTTAGTGGCTTTGTATCGTTGGGTTTAGGGCTGAGGGGTCGCGGGCCGAGTTAAGGAGCGTGGCTTCGTTTTGAGACAATCTAAGGGGTTACTCAAGAACCTAGTATAGCGCTTCGGGCTTAGGGTTTAGGGATTTAAGGTTTACGGTTTGGGATTTGTTTCTGTAGAGGGGACTTCATGGAGGTATGCATTATCTGGACCCCAGAACCTTCCCTTTTTTGGGTTCCCTCTTGTGATTTCCTTATAGAAGTCCCGAAATAGGTTAGTTGGGGTCTAGGTAGTCATTAGACCGACGGATTGTGAGTGGGCTTTAAGCCAGTGCATGCTTGGATGCTCGCATGCATGTATGCTGGCCTTGGTTGCTCTTTCGACGGATGTTGTATGTATCGGCACTTTGCCGGCGTCCACCTAAATTGTTGTTGTTAGCAAGTTACTCATTACATAGATGTTTTCAACAGAACACGAATCAATATCATCATTGTTATTTTTCTTATTGATGTTGGTATTGCTAGTATCAGTTACATAATTATCAGTATTAGTAGTAGTTATAATCTTACTATTGTTATTACCAGTATAATTCTCAATATCCTCATTATTTAACGGATTGAACAGCCTGACCCCTTGAACCGAAGGCTTCCTCATCAACTTCCAACATCCCCTTCTGTACAGCCCACGAACACAGCGTGTGGGGTTTAGGCTTTTAGGGTTTAGGGTTCAGGGTTTAGGGTTTAGAGTGTAGGGTTCAGGGATTAGGGCTCAGGGTTTCGGGTTCAGAGTTTAGGTTTTTGGGTTTAGGGTTCAGAGTTTAGGTTTAGGGTCTTTACGACCCCCAAGCGCCATCGATACTGCTGTCATAAAATGCAAATCGTCGTGCAAAGCCCGTAGGCGCTGCCGCCAAGCGAGCGGAGTTGCTTGGGTGCTTTTGAAGAAACTGCTTTAAACTCAAAGTTTACTCTTAGAGGTTTAGGGTTGAGGGTTTAGAGTTTTGGGAATGCTTGGCGTTCCCGAGGTCCGCATGTACATAAGTTACAACGTCCAAAAGACAAGTGACAAGCCATGAGCCCCTACACAGCAGCCTGCCAGAACCACTACGCAAGGACCTTTGACAATATGGATCCTAAATCCGATAGTCGGAGTGAGTTGTCGGGGTTTAAGGATTCGGGTTTACATATGCGAGGGTTCAGGTTTCAGAGCTCCCTGCTCCCTAGGCCTTTAAACCCGTAAATCCTTAAGCCAGAAACTTAAACCCTTAAACTCTAAACCCAAAACCCTGAACCTCTAAACCCTGAACCATAGACCCTAAACCCCTAAACCCTAGAACCCAAAACCCAAAACCCTAAAACCCTAAACCCAACAAACCCTGAACCCAACATAAAACCCTGAACCATAAACCTCAAGTCCCTCATAGATCCCTTTAAAGGAACCCCTACAGATCCCAAACCCTAAACCCTGACCACGCAATCCGAAGCATCGCAGCAGGCGATGGGCGCTTCTATCGCAGCGACGCAGGGCTTTGCGTGGCCTGCGCCGAGAACTGCAAGTCTTGTAGCAGCTCTGGGTCCCTTGGACACCTTTACGTTTACTAGGGTTCTTAAAGGGCTCCTTGAAGGGATCTATAGGGTTCCTTAAAAGGATCCATGGGGTGAAGGGTTTAGGGTCTACTTAAAGGATCATGGGACTTAGTAAGGGCTCTTAGAGGGCTTTTTAAAGGGATCTATAGGGTTCCTTAAAGGGATCTACGGGGTTTAGGGTTTAGGGTCTACTTGGAGGGGCAGGTTAGTAAGTAGGTTATAAGTAGGGTTATTATTGGGGTAATTCCATTTCTACTTACTGAGTCCCCTGCCCTTCCTACTAGGGTTTAGGGATTTAGGCTTTAGGGTTTATTGGGTTGAAAACGGAGGTTATAAGGGGTTTGCCAGATTTTATGTGGGTGAACTCGGGGTGTATAAGGGTTCATAAGGGCTTTGTAAGGGTTTGTGCAATGTAGATCCTAGATTGATGGTTTGTTGCTTAATCCAATTTCTAAAGGAATGCTGATGTAAGGCCCTGAATAGTAAGGCCCTGAAGAAAGGGGTGAGTAGATAAGGGTCTAGATTGCGGCATTGAGTTCATGTTGTTTACGACTCATTTTCCCAACACAAACACTGTTGGGTGTTACCCTTGAGAATCCGAAACCCCGAAAGCCGCTAAACCCTAGTGGTGGAACAAGAGTAACAAGAGCAAGAGCAATAACCATGGTCGAACGGGAGTCTCAGCGACACGACAGCATGTACCTAAGAGCCATATTCTACTTTTTTAGGGCCTACCTGGACCCCAAATAACCTACCGTTTTAGGGTTCCTTAGTATGATTTCTTTATGCAGTAAGTCCTTAAAAAGGTAGGTTATTTGGGGTTAAAGGTAGGGTTTAGGGTATCATAGTACCCTTGCAGCAACCCTTATAGACCCCTTTATAAGGCCCCTTTAAATTCCCTATTATCCAAAGGGTGTAGGGTTAGGTAAATCCTAAAGGCTCGAAAGCCGTAAGCCGAAAACCCTAAACCCTAAAAACCCCTTATAGTAGCCTTATAGACCCCTTTAAAGGAACCCTTATAGCTCCCTTCAAACAGGGTGTAGGGTTTAGGGTTCCAGATCTGCAACGCGAGGTGTGATGAGTGTGACGACTCCTTTGGACTTCGTGGCTGGGATCCTTTATGGACTCATGTGGGGGCGTTCCCGAAAATTAGGGGTACCCTAGGGCTTCCTTTAAAGGGATCCATAAGGGTACTATAAGGGGTTCTATAAAGGGTTTAGGGTTCCTTTAAAGGGATCTTGTTAAGGGTTCCTTAACGGGATCTATAGTAATCTATAGGGTTTTATAAAAGGTTTAGGGTTTAGAGTTTCCGAAAAGTAGGGGTACCTTATCTTGGGGTCCTTATAATAAGGATCCTACTATCTGGGGTACTATATTAGGATCCCCCATTGTTCCGAAACTCCCATGTGTTTTTGGGGTTTAGTTCAGGGTGTGGCGTAGCATTTCGGGCCCTTGAAGGGTATTCCTGAAAAGCCGAAGCCTCTAGACCGTGCTTGGTGTTTGGAGCCTAAAGTGAAGAGCCTAAGCCCTGAACCCTAACCCCTAAACCCCTAAACCCGTAAACCCTAATCTAAACACCACACCCGCTGAAGCCTAAACCCTGACCCCTAAACCCCTCAAGCCTAAACCCTGAACCCTTTATAGAACCCTTGTAGATCCCTTTAAAGGAACCCTGAAAGACCCCTGTAAAGGAACCCTAAACTCCTCAAGCCTAAACCCTGGAGTCTGTGAGATTCATTCTGTGCTCCTCTTGGGCTACCCAGAACTTCCAAAATCCCTTAATTAAGGAATCTACCTTAAAATATAGTAGGGATCCAGAACTTCCAAAATCCCTTAATTAAGGAATCTACCTTAAATTATAGTAGGATCCCTAATATGATTTAAGGTATATTCCTTAATTAAGGGATTTCGGAAGTTCTGGGCTACGGGGCTCGAACTCTCTCAGCCTTTCATAGAAGCCCGGAGCCCTTCCGCCGGGGTTTAGGGCTTCGGGTTTAGGGGTTCAGGGGTTCAGGGGTTTAGGGCTTTTGGGTTTTAGGGTTGTTAGGGGTTCTAGGGGTTTAGGGGTTCTAGGGGTTAGGGATTTAGGGCATAGAGGTTTCAACAATTCCAAACCATGCCCTCTTATCCTCCGGTTGATGATATAAATCCTGCATTACCCATGATAAGGAATATGTGGGAATTATGGTGTATTCCTTATTATGGGTCATGCAGGGTTTATATCATCAACCCTAAGCCTTAAACCCCAAACCCTAAGACCCTATAGACCCCTAAAAGGAACCTCTTTTAGGTACCCCTTTAGATCCCTTTAAAGGAACCCTCAGCAACAGTCCCTTTGCGCTCCGTAGCATGGCCTCCGTGTATCAGCCTGGCTGTTTCGGTGCTACTAAGATGCATTCCACGGCCAAGCTCCGATTCTGAAAAGACCCCTATAGATCCCTTAAAGGGAAGCCCTTAGAGGAGCCCTTATAGATCCCTTTATCGGTCTGATTCTGAAAAGACCCCCCATACTAAATCTGAGACATGATATGAAACTGGACATCTAGGCGACGGAGAGTGCTCCCGGCTGTGGAGTGGCAGCACGGCGGAAGTTTCCTGATTTGGGGGTTACGGCTTAGCGTGTCCGGATTTAATTTTTGGGCTCTCAGGGTTAGGATATTGCCTTTTGTAGGCTACTTGGAGGGTCGGGGGACTTAGTAACTGGCTATTTGAAGGACTTATAAGTACCTGAACCCCAATGAGGGTCCCTGTTAGGGTACTTATAAGTCTACTTCCTACCTACTTACTAAGTCCCCCCCGACCCTCCGAGTAAGTCGTACAGCTTGAACATGAAGAATGAGCAAAAGGGGCCCTGAACCTTTCCTTAACCCTGAAACCCCTACACGCCGCAACACTTGAACCCCTAAACCTTAAACCCTGACCCCAACCCTATCCCCGAAACTGCAACCCTAAACGTTTTGTTTTTCAGCGCAACACCCAAAACGCCAATCCGCGAGCTGTTTTCGTGGTTCAGGATCTGGGGTTTAGGGGCCAGGGCTTAGGATAGAGGTTATAGGCTACAGTCTGCAAGCTTCTTAGATTCTTTTGCCCTATAAAATTCCTGAATCCCAAGGGCTAGCCCCTACACCCTAAACCCGAACCCTTAGGCCGAAAACTTTTAAGCTCTTTCTCCCAGAAACCCGGAACCCTAAAGCTGCTCCTGAAAGGGTTTACCGTCTAGGGTTTAGGACTTTAGGGGTTTCTTATTCGACACGCATGCGCGGACTGAGCAGGAACGTTCTCTGATAAGGCAAATTTTTCGCGGATCCGACGATTTTTATTGCTCTGACCGCACCCTCTGAATCTAGGGTGCAGGGTTTAGGCTGTAGGCAGTAGCGCAAAGTCTCGAACTAGCAAGTTTCTGTAGACGAAATGTGGCAGACCCTTGACTTGAGCAGGTGCAGCAACCCAGAACTTCCAAAATCCCTTAAGGAATATACCTTAAATTATAATAGGATCCCTAATATGATTTAAGGTATATCCCTTAATTAAGGGATATCGGAAGTTCTGGGAAGAGTCACACAAAGCGTGGGGACCATAGAGGCAGCAATGATAAATGGGTGGTTGTCAAAATTATGATCCCTTTTGGGTATATATATATACTCTAATATGGGCAGTTGTCGAAATTGGGGTCCCTGTTGGGAACCCTAAATAATAGGTGCCGTACTATAATAAGGACCTAGAAAGGGACCATAATTTTGACAACCACCCAAATGGAGCAACGATGAATGCAGCTCCTCGTTGGCAGCATGACGGTCGTGAAGCAAAACCATTTTCGCTGTGAGCTCAACTTTTCAACGTTGGGGTTCTTATAAGGTAGTCGATTCTGAAAGTTTCAACTTTTATTCCCCTGGGTTTTGGGCCAGTGAGAAGCTAACGGCGAAAAAGCGACAGCAACTATGGCAATGACACCCAGAAGAACAACGACCGTTACAGTTCGTAGCAGCATAAACGGATTTGGCCTAGGACGTCGAAGTCAATGCTAGCCTGAGGCGAAATTGGGCTGGGATTCGCCAGTTTACCTTGGAGTTTAGGGTTTCGTGGTTTAGGGGCTGGGGGTTTAAGGGTCTGGGTTTGTTCTGATCACTAGATAAGTAAGAAAGGTGAGTACCACACGAAACAAAAGCTTCTGAATCATCAGCAAGATAGTTGTAATCTTTGTGGTGCCGAGAGTCAACAAACCACAGCAGGAGAACCGCAATAGTCGTCGTAATCAGGAGCTGGTCATCATCTTCAGGAAAGGCGTGAGAATCAGTCATCATTAACACATAAGCTTTGTCGCTATATCCCTAAACCTACCCTGAACCCTAAACTGTCCATATCTCTACATGTGTCACGCACGCAAAACCGGTACGGGAGCCCAACGCCCCGAACCAGGCCCTAAAAACCCTAAACTTAAAGGATCCTTAAGGGAGGGTGGTGAACCTTAGGGAGTACTAGGGAGAATTAGGGATCACTAGGCTATATACCCCCCTTGGACCCCCCTCCCTTAAGGATACTACAATAAACCCCCAACGCCTTACAGTGCTAAAGCCCGAAACCCGATAGTAACCCTAGAACCTTACACTTAGCAGCCCAAGCGCCGGAAATTCCACGCTAAACCCTAAGCCCTTAAGCAATAAGCCCTAAAACCCTGAAGCCCTACGGTTGATATAAATCCTGCATTACCCACAATAAGGAATATACCATAGTTCCCATGTATTCCCTACTACGGGTAATGCAGGATTTATATCATCAACCGTATGAAGCCCTAAACCCTAAAACCCTATAGATCCCTTAAAGGAGCCCCTTGAAGGTACCCCTATAGATCCCTTTAAAGGAATGAAGCCCTAAACTTGACCCGCTAACCCTAGCACCCTAAACCCTCGAGCCACAAGCTTCTGGGCCCCAAAACCCCAAAGCCCTAAACCCTAAACCCCTAAATCCCTAAACCCTAGAACCCTAAACCCTGAATCCCAAAATCGAACCCTAGAACCCTAAACCCCTAAACCCCTAGAACCCCTAGAACCCTGAGCCCCTAAATCCCTAAACCCTAGAACCCTGAGATCCTAAATCCCTAAACCCCTAGAACCCAAGAACCCTGAGCCCCTAAACCCCTAAACCCCCTCAGACTCTCTGAGGACTGGGGGTCTTCGGCATGGCCGTCGCAGCGCTGAGCCTTGGCATCGGCTCTCAAGTTTCTTCACACCAGCCTGGTTTAGTGCTTAGCGGTTTAGGGGTTTGGGGTTTAGGGGTTTAGGGTTTAGGGGTTTAGGGTTTAGGGGTGTAGGGTTTAAGGGTCTAGTGTTTAGGGTTTGGGGTAGGGTTTAGGGTTCAGGGTTTAGGGTTTAAGGTTGTGGTTCACGGATTAGTATGGGAACCTCATTAAGAAACCCAGGGTCTTTATTAGGGCTCTTTGTATGGATCCTAAAAGTTTGGGGTTTCAGGATCAGGGTTTCTTCATCAGGTTCCTGCATTACCATTCCGGTTTAGTGCTTGGGGTGTAGGTTCAGGGTAGTGCTCAGAACATATGATGTGCCTGAAGGGTGCCGTCAACACTGTGTTGCCTTGCAGTATACTCCAAAAGGGACGCTCCAAACCCAAAACTGAAAACCTTGACCCAAATCTAAAACCTATGAAGCCCATCCTGAACCCCAAACCCACCACCTACAGCCTAAACCCTGAGCCTTTGAAACTCCGAACAGAAGATCCCAGGAGTTCAAAGCCTTTGAAACCCTAAACTAAGAAATTTAACCGAGCCCAAAGGCTGGGAAACCCTTATACAACCCTAAGCCCAAAAACCCAAACCCCGAAGAGAAGATCCTAGGAGTGCCGTTCCCTAACCCCTAAACCATTGACGCCCCGAAAAGAAGACTATCCTAAACCCCTACTTGGATGGGCAGGGGACTTAGTAAGTAGGTTATAAGTAGGGTTATAATTGGGGTAACTCCATTTAAGTCACTTATAACTCTACTTATAACCTACTTACTAAGTCCCCTGCCCTTCCAAGTAAACCCCAAACCCTAAACCCCATAGATCCCTAAATCCTAAACCCTAAACCCTTGTAGATCCCTTTAAGGAGCCCTATAAGGGACCCAAAGTCTGATCCCAGGAGTGCCGTTGCGTGTTGCGGCTGGGGTGCAATGAAATGCAAGCGCGACCGGAGCCTGAGAGAAGTGACACCTGGCTTGAGGAAAGGTTGGTTTAGGGTTTGGGGTTATTAGGGAGTTAGGGTCTAGGGTTTAGAGGTTTAGGGTTTGGGGTTATTAGGGAGTTAGGGTCTAGGGTAGTGACACCTGGCTTGAGGAAAGGTACTTGGAGGATCATGGGACTTAGTAAGTAAGGTTATAGGTACCCTAATTGGGGTTAGAAGTATAGTTACCTTAATTATAACCCTAGTTACTACGTCCCATGATCCTTTAAGTAGTATTATTAGGGAGACCCCTTAAAGGGTAGGTACCCCTTCTGAACCCTACTTCTGGCTCTCTTAAAAGGGGCCTTATTGAGAGGGTCTATATCCCCAAGGGTCACCAGAATCCTAGCTCCCAGAGGAAAGGTGGGTTTAGGGTTTGGGATTTTAGGGGTTTAGGGTCTAGGGTTTAGAGGTTTAGGGTTTGGGGTTTGAGAAGGGTCGTACGAGTGTTCTACAACGGCACCACAGGAGTTTTAGGGTTTAGGGTTTGAACATAGAGAAGTGACACCTGGCTTGAGAGTAACAGGTGATCCTTGAAAGTAGGGCCCTATACCCTTGTACTATGAAGCCAAACATGGTACATGAACCTTGATCCCTTTTAGGGCTCATTTTGTCTTCAAGGCAAGGTGTTTAAACCAAGGGTTCTATAGTTACTCTACAGGGGAAGTATAGGAGTTGCAATCGTTTAGGGTTCAAAACGCAGTACTCGATTTAAGAAGTCAGAAGGAGGTAGAGAAAGGTTCAGGGTTTAGGGATAAGGGCTTGGGGTAGTGTGTTTGGTGCTGGAATCTTTGTGTTTATATGGGTTTAAGCAATGTAAGGGCTTTGGGGTATAGTATAGTGAAGCATGTTATTGTTTAGTTGTAGTTTCGTATAGCCACGTAGGCGCTATAACTGGACAGGACTGCAGTTTAGGGTTAAGCGCAATCGCTCCGGGCTTTGTGCGCCCGATTTTGTGCGGTAGAGTCGTGCTAGGTTTTCGAGACTCAAAGGGGAAAACGAGAGACCCTTAATGGGGACCCCTACCCTATAATGGGCTATATAATGGGCATATAATAGCTACATTAAGGGTATATACCACCAGAACAGTATTGGAAATTCTTTAGGCCCCAAAACCAGAGAACCCTACTATAGATCCCTTCAAGGAACTCTTTAAGAGGGGGTATATACCTAGGGGTCCTTATTAAGGGTCCCTCCTTTTACCCTTGGAGAGACACAACCCGGGAGAGACAGCGGAATGGATTTTTGCAGAGGTGGTTCTTGAAGGCACTTTAGGGGCCTAAAGCAGCAGCAAGGTTCTCTTTACAGTCCCCATAGTAAATGGAGTAAAAGACCACCCAACAGCCCAATCTACTACAAAGGGCGCATTGTCATTCCGCAGACACAGCCTGGTGTCTGGAGCAAGCAGGGGTGCCAGAGAACTCGAAGTTTCTATTCGGGGCTGTAAGCAGCATACGGTTGATGATATGAATCCTGCATTACGGTATATTCCTCATTATGGGCCATGCAGGATTTATATCATCAACCGTACCTTACAAGGTCCCTGAATCCTGAGCCGAAAGGTGGCCCTGAAGGACTGAAGGAGAAACAGCCTTTGACACCTCTGCTCTTGGGGTTCTGGCAACATGATGAATGTTTGGGGCTTAGGGATAAAATACCTGCATAATGCTTGCATGATTAGGGTTTAGGGTTTAGTGTGATGTCGGACTCAATGCCTTGCGAAGACTTGTCAGCTTCTTTGTGGCAACATGCACCCGCAAGCAACCCCGGTGCCTCAAGCCAGGCAGCAGCCCCTCCGTGAACGGCAAGACAGGCCAGCCGCACAAAGACCTGTTTCTTCATGCATCGCCATCATAATCACCATCTGGTATGTGTGTACTTTCATTGCTCCTGTGTCACAAGTACATAGGCACCATGAGAAGGTACTCTCCATCAGTATGATCGTCGTTGGAGCATGGAGTTGGTGCAACAAGCTCGTGATCACCATCGCCATCATCATTGCCGTAACCATCACCGTCACTGTCATCGTGACCGGTCTGATCGCTTGCACCCTCGCCTTCACCCTCGCCCTTGCCCTGACCATCGCCGTCTCTGTCACCATCGCCACCATCACCATCACCGTCACAGCATCATCCTCATCATTAGTGTTTACTTGGGAGTTTCCGAAAATTAGGCGTACCTTATCTTGGGGTCCTTATAATAAGAATCCTACTTTTTTGGGTACTATATTAGGGTTCCTCATTTTCGGAAACTCCCAAATTGTTCCTCTTGGGGTGGTAGGAGAAGTGTGCGAAGGCTTCAGGCTTCGCTGCATACTTCTTGCAGAGTCATAGCCCATGACATGTGGGGTTATAAGTATAGTTACCCTAATTCTAACCCCAGTTACTAAGCCCCATGATCCTTTAAGTAAAGTCCTAAACCCCAGACTGTGAGGCTTCAAGTGGGAGTTTCCGAAAATTAGGGGTGCCTTCAAAGGGATCTAAAAGGGTTCCTTAAAGGGATCTATAGTAATCTATAGGGTTCTATAAAGGGTTTAGGGTTTAGAGTTTCCGAAAATTAGGGGTACCTTGTTTTGGTCCCTATAATAAGCATCCTACTATTTAGGGTCCTTTCTTAGGGTCCCCTATTTTCGGATACTCCCACGTAGGTAATACGTAGAGTTATAAGTACACTGAAGCAGTATCCTAGTTAGGGTCATGATAATTTCTACTCTGCAGAAACCACTACTTTTTGAGTCACCGTCGCTTCGCAGATACATCCGAAGCCTTAAACCCACTCAGGTCTATAGTACCCTTAAAGATCCGTCAAAGGAGCCCTTAAAGGACCCGTGAAGGAGTTTTATAGATCCCTTAAAGGAGCCCTTAAAGGATCCTAGAACCCTCATGGTAAAGCATCATAGTAGACCCCTGACAGGGCCCTTTAAGGAGCCCTATTTGGGTACAGGGAGTCTGAAGCTAAGAAGGCCCACTCAGAGTCCCTGAAGGTAGCCCTAATTTTCGGAAACCCCCTAGACCCTAAACCCTGTATATAGATCCCTTTAAGGAACCCTTAAAAAGATCCCTTGTAAAGGAACCCTAAGGATGAAAATAAAGAGATCCCTTTAAAGGAACCTTTAAAAAGATCCCTTTAAAGTAACCCCTAGCTTCGCAGATCGTCGGCCCTGACGGGCGTGGCCCCGGCGGATGCGATGGTCATGGGCGAGGCGCGGAGGCTTCCAAAGGTGGGATGAAGGCCGTTTCCCAAAGGCTCCATGTACCTTTATAGTAGATACTTTAGCCTTACAGGGGCCCGAAAAAGGAGATACTTAAGCCTTAAAGGGTCCCTAAAAAGGAGATACTTAAGCCGCAAAGGGGTCCCAAGAAAGTAGATACGTAAGCCTGAAGGGGTCCGTGTAAAGGTACTTTAAGACCTGAGTATCTACTATATGGGTACCGGGATCCTTAGGGTTTAGGATGTAATGTGGGGGCCTCGCTAATCAGAGTAGGGTTCCTTTAAAGGGGTCTAAAAGGGTTACTATAAGGGATCTATAAGGGTACTATAATGTAGGGGCCTTCTATAAGGATACTATTATGTGGGGGCTTTCTATAAGGGTACTATAATGTAGGGGCCTTAATAATTCGCATGGGGGTTTTGGAGGTTCCTTCTTATCATTTTGGTAATAATGCACCCCCCAAACCTAAGGCCCTTACATTAGGGGCTCAGGGCTTTAAGGCTCTTTCATGAGGGTAGGAGGTAGGACTAAAGATCCCGCAAGAATGGATCCTCTTATTGTGGGATGACCCCACAGCCCTGCCTTTGAGAGGTGGGGCCCTCGGCCCCTCCCGTGCCGCCTCCCAGTGGCCTCTGGCGGGGATACTACGTCTACGAGCGGCTTGACCTCAGCTTTGGAACCTCTTCAACCAAACCCCTAAATCCCCGAAACCCTAAACTCTCCCTACATTACGTACCTCTAGTAACCTCCTAACCCAAACCCTTCCGATATCCCGGACTTTGGGGGGTTTGCGGGGCTTCTAAGTCCTGAGTCCCAAGCCCAACCTTCCGTGAGATGGAGGAAGATAGGATAGGATAGCAGAACAGATTAGGGACCCCAAAAGGACATAGTATAGCATAAGCATTTTATAGGGATATCCATACCTAGCTTTTTTGGTATATCCCTAAGATATATAAGACCCTAAACCCTAAACCCTACACCCTGATAACAGAGACAACCAGCACCAGAGAAACATCCTAGCAACAATTGGGTTTGGGGTTTTGGGGTTCAGGGGCGTCCTCGGGTTTAAGGCTAGTAACCTTTAAGGGGTTTAGGGTTTAGGGTTTATGCTTGTTGGGCTCCGGGGCTGGAGGTCTGAGTCTGGAATTTCAGGTGTTCAGTTTTGGACTTCAGGGCTTAAGGTTTAGGATTCCGATTCCGTAGAAGGCCCTGTCATTTGCGCGGTTGTGAAAATTAGGGTCCCTTTTTGGGTCCTTACTATAACACGGCACCTATTATTTAGGGTGCCCAAGAAGGGATCCTAATTTCGACAACCGCCCATTTAGGTTTTAGGGTGGAGCCCGAAGCATTCGATTCCCCAGACCCAGCCCCCAAATCCCTGTGGCCGATGGACAACAACCCAAGGTCTTGACCCACATTCAATGAGGAATGCACATAACTCCCGTGGTTTCCGGATACTTCAGGTGATTCAGTTTGTATCAGGCCTTGTGCCTAAGCCCTGAACTCTAAACTTCCGGCTCTCTTCAAGTCGTTCGATCCTTCAGCCCCCAGCCCCCAAATCCCCTAACCCCTAAACCCTACCGTTGATGATGTAAATCCTGCATTACCCATAATAAGGAATATGCCACAATTCCCATGTGTTCCTTGTCATGGGTAATGCAGGTATTACATCATCAACCGTAACCCTGATTCCGAGGGTTTAGGGTTTAGGGTTTAGGGAGGGATTTTGGAGTGATTGCGCCCTTGGCCCTTGTACAAGCCCTCAAGAGCACCCTCGCGCAAGCCTTTACAACGGCCCATACAAAGCCTCCACCTAGACCCCCCAAAGTAGGTAAAATTATGGCCCAATACCTATAAAAGGCCACTATTCTACGTACTTTGGGGGTTCCAGGCATACTCAAAATGTATTGGCGTAAATAATTACCCATATTCATCCTTAGGGTTTCTTACGGTTGATGATAGAAATCCTAGGGTTCCTTTTAAGGGGATGGATCTATAGGGGTACCTTTAAGGGGTTCCTTTAAGGGATCTATGAGGGTTTAGGGTTTATGATACAAATCCTGCATGACCGTAAGGACCCTAAACTATGGGAATTATGGTATATTCCTTATTATGGGTAATGCAGGATTTATATCATCAACCGTATGATACTATACAGGAGCCCGAAACCTCCTTGAATCCCCTACATCAGGTTTGTCCCGGAACTTTTTGGGTTTAGGGTTTAGGGCCGGAACTTTTTGGGGGAGTGGAAACCCCGAGCCCTAAGCCCCGAAGTCTGCAAACGAGGCGAGTCAATCACGACGTCTGCGAGTTCAACTTGCAGCTCCTTGGAACGCCATGAGGGTGGTTGTCAAAATTAGGGTCCCTTTTCGGGTCCTTATTATAATACAGCACCTAATATTTAGGGTGCCCCAAAAGGGAGCCCCTGTTTTTGACAACTACCCATGAAACAGAGCGTTGTCGACGCTAATCTAAGGGTTCTATGGGGCTGAAAGAGTTTGGTTAAGTAGGGCTTCACGAGGGTTGATACGGCGGTACGGGTTTTCATCGCATTCTGCTGTTGGTTTATGCAGATTGATATCGTTTGGGGTGTAACGGGGGTATGCTACTTTGAGGGGCAGGGGACTTTGTAAGTAGGTTACAAGTAGAGTTATAATGGGGGCAATCTCCATTTAGGGTACTTATAACTCTACTTATAACCTACTTACTAAGTCCCCTGCCCCTCCAAGTAGAATGTGGGTTAGGGTTTAGGGTCTTCGTTGTTCTGACCTTTGTATTACCAGAGTGGGGTTGGAGACCTGGGGTGAGAATGCATCCTAAACCCTCAACCCGAAACCTTCTCTTCCTTATATCATAGGGACCCTTAGGGGGGTAGGGGGGAGGGGGGTAGGGGAGTATACTTCTTTAAATAGGCCTTATTATGGGCATTATGGACCGAAATGTAGGGGTACCTTATTTTGGGGTCCTTATCATAGGGCTCCTACTATTTAGGGTACTATATTAGGGTACACTATTCTCGGAAACCCCCATATAGTTCATGTCTGATTTTGTTCCTGAGCTGGGCCGCGGGTGTTCTAAAGATCTTCTTATTGGAGGGACTACTGGGAATACCTGAACAATGCTTCTTTGCAGGGAGATCTTGTAAATTGGCAACCTGCGTCAAGCTGCATTGTAATGTAGCTTTTGATATGTGTTTGAACAGCTGCTTTGTCGGTCTTAGGTCTAGAGGTTTAGCGTTTCTTTTCTATATCAGACGCATGTCAAAAATCTGTACAACTTGTAAGCACCTGCACAAAGCCCTAAACCCTACACTCCTCTACTGTCGAGCTCGTCAATCAGCTGCGAATCTCTGAGCCCATGGAAACGTCTGCTTACGGTTGATGATATATTACCTTCATTACCTTCGCATCCTAATGACCCTACCTAGACTATGGGAATTATGGTATACTCCTTATTATGGGGAATGCAGGATTTATATCATCACCTTTTTCTAGGTTTACATGATATTTAGGCTGTTCCTTGCTTGGGCCGCTTTCGAGGCTTTGGGAGCCCTGAAGAAGCCCTAAGCCCCAAACCCTCACATGTGGGAGTTTCCGAAAATTAGGGGTGCCTTCAAAGGGATCTATAAGGGTTCCTTAAAGGGATCTATAGTAATCTATAGGGTTCTATAAAGGGTTTAGGGTTTAGAGTTTCCGAAAATTAGGGGTACCTTATTTTGGGGTCCTTAGAATAAGGATCCTACTATGTAGGGTACTATACTAGGGTCCCCTATTTTCGGAAACTCCCATGTGAGAAAAAGCCCTAAGCCCCAAGCCCTGCAGACAGGTTCTCTGAGAACAGGAATGTCCGCGGCGACGGCGTGGATGACGTAGGCTGCAGCCGCAGAGACCGAATGGAACCCTAAGGGTTTCGGGTTTAGGACCCAAAATACGGTTGATGATATAAATCCTGCATGACCCATAATAAGGAATACACAATAATTCCCATATATTCCTTATTATGGATAATGCAGGATTTATATCATCAACAGTAGTATATACGTCGGCCTGAAAGCAGTCCCTGTATAGGTACTTCGGGGCCAATGTATACACTTTTTTGGGTACGTGGACCCTTATCCAGGATCCCTACTATAGGGCTGATTGCATATTCGCTAAGCAAACAGATTTTGGACTCCTTTTGGGGTTCGGGCTTGAGAATGTCGTCGTTTTCGGGGTTGTAGTTCGGGGCTTTTAGGGTTTTTGCCCCATTCCAGTATATAGCTCCGGAATTAGCATTCTCCGTTGGGATCCCCTGTGAGCTTCAAGCTTTGTGGGCTGTGTAGGGCTTGCAGCCCAACAGACTTACCTGCTATATACAGGAATCTTGCAAGGAACTCACAGAAAGGTACCCAAAGCATGTAGGTTGTTTTTTCAAACATTCTGCTTAGTTGGATTCCCATTATGGGCCATATTGGGGTTCCCTGGCGGTCGAGGTTCTGGGTCTGGTTCACCCAGTGAGTCAATGAGGCTGTGCTGGTTTGTGCTTGTAAGTAAGAGGCATGCGCCAACATTCCGAGGTCTTCGAGAAGCACAGAGAGTCAGATTGCACCTGTTCAGACTTTGAGGGGATTCCGGAGGGATGTGCACTGAGGATGGTCAGGAATGTAAGGTAAGGTTTTTAAGGCTTGGGGTGAATAGTGTGTTGCTTATACCTGGACAAAGAGCATATCAGCATAGCATATATACCAAGAAAGTGTGCTAATGAGTTGAGGCCCGGCATGTGTTGTGCTCGAGAACGTTCGGCTTGTGGGCCTATCTCTGCTTTTTCATGGGAAACCCTTCACGTCTAGGCCTTGTTTCTTGCTTTGCTTCACCTTCTTGGGGGAGTTGTGCTGGAAGGTCCATGTCCAAGGGAGAGGTGGGGATGCATGTGCTTAGACCTAGGGCTTCGCATGTGGGGCTTTTGGACATTTTCCGTTTAGGTACCTATCCCTAGGGATCTAAGGACTCATATATTAAGGGTTTTGGGCCCAAAGATCATACTATGTAAGGTTTTTCGGCTATTTTGATCCCTAGGGTATGATGATCCTTTAAGTGCAGGCGCCTACAACATCTCCGGCAGTTTGGACCGTTCCATGCGGGAGATTACCTTTCACAAGAAGTGCCCCAGAAGCAACACGCTTGGCCGAAACAGCAGTTCTGGTTTTCGCATGACTACTTGTATAAGTCCTAAGTGGTCAGTATAACAACAACCACCACTCCTAAAGCAACCACGAGTACTGTTATTACTACCAGTACCACCACTAGCACTAGTACTGGTACGAGTTGGCGACGTATTCGATTCGAACCGTTTTTGACATCACACTGTCATTGCTATCATGATGATGTCGTAGCTGAGGGAGCCAATGACTATGCTTATGGTACTCGTGCCATGGAAAAGTTGAAGTATCCTCGTAAATGCCGGCAGCATCAATGCTTCAATAGTACTGATGATAATCGCAACAGCCGCAACCCCAGTAGCAGCGGTAACCACGGAAACAGGTACCTGTCATGGTATAAACCTTGGAAAGATGATTGCTGCGACGGTGATGACTCGCCACAAGTACCACCGCCACCACCACCACCACCATCATAATCATCATCGTCATCGTGATCATCATCGTCACGATTCTCGCTCTACTCCTCGTCGTCGTCATACCATCACCGGTACCATCACCTCAACGTCACCATCACATCATCCCTGCATATGATCGTCACATTTCCGTCATCAGGTCACCACATCATCTCATCACACTCGCAACATTGGCCCTGATAACGGCAGCCATGCTTATCACGGTCCGTCGAACGTCACTACACTTGTTAAATCGCCAGATGACGGCTAGAATCTGAAGTACTAGGATTTTTGAGTCTTATGCATCCCCACCGTAAACCCTAAACCCTCAACCGAGTTCGATTATCAATTGAACCGTTTGCGAAGCCAAAGGAACCCGTCGCCGGTCGCCGGACCAGAGACCCAAAATTCAAGGGGTGGGTGAGTGGCGGTTTAGGGGTTTAGGGGTTAGGGGTTTAGGGTTTGGGTTTAGGGGGGTTCATAGGGCTTGGGGTTTTGGGGGTTTAGGGTTTAGGGTTCAGGGTTTAGGGCTTTAGGGGTTTAGGGTTTAGGGTTTGAGGGTTTCGGGGTTTAGGGGTCAGGGTTTAGGGGGGCGGCTGAGCGACTGGGCTGGGCTGGGCTGGGCTGGGTTTGCATGAGCGAAATTTATGGCAGCCTGGGCTGAGACCGTACGAACCACTCCAGGCTGTCCGAGCCGTTCCAAACCGTTGCGAGCGGTTCTGAGCCCTTCCGAGCGGTTTCGATCCCTCCGAGCAGTTCGAAGCTCTTCCACGTTGCGAACCGTTGTTGGGGACGACTCGGAACGGTGCGGCCGGCAGCGTTCGGGGACGCCTGGGGTGGCGCTTGATTCAGCACGACAGCCATAGTCTGTGCAACCTCTTCCCGGGACCATCGTGCAATCTTAGGGGCCTGAAGTATTGACAACACTGTTCCCTTGGCTTCTTGTATATGTAAAGTTGCAGCATATGAACTCAAGAAACGCTAGTCTGCTTATTAGGCCTCGACAGTAGCTGAAACCGCACACCCTATCTGGCTTTTGGTGTACATAACCCTCTTATCCAGGTTAAGATAGTCTAAAAGCTCGAGGGCCCATCCGATCCTAGATGAAGTAACACTCACATGTTTTCCATTGTTTCAGGCCTGGGGGTTTCGGATTTTGAGGTTTACGGTCTTAGGGTTTCGATTTCCGGATTTCAGGGTTTGGGCGAGGGTGGGGGTTAGGAGCGTCTTGGGGCGAGGTACCGGCGTGGCACCCGAAATCACTTGGGCTTCGTCAACGAGGACAACGAGGGCCACACCGTGGTGTACAAGGGGAGGCAGAGCACCCCAAAGTCCCGAAACCCTGAGTTAAGCAACAGGGGCCTAGGGTACCGGGTCGATGTACTTTAAGCCCTGGACCCTGTATACCTGAGACTATTTGGGAATCCTTCACATGATCTCCTCTAACACAGGGCTTTGGAGTCTCTCGACTCCCCAAGCTCAAGCCTGGACCCTTCCTCCACCTCTCCACTAAGTGCAAGAGAGCCCACCTGGGAGCGTCCTCCATGAATCCATACGTAGGGGATTCTTACCTAAGCCCCTGCACCCTAAGCCCCAAACCCAATACCCTATACCTTGAACCCTAAACCCCAAACCCCCACGCCCTAAACCTAAAGCTTGAGCAAAGGGATGCAGCCTAGGCCGTAGGTTTCTGGTTTGGGTTCAACGCGTTTGCGCCTATCTTTATTGATTTGGATTTGGTTTACTCCGGAACAGTTGGAGTAGTACTTGGGTTCAAGGGTTTAGAGCTTGAAGTACATTGTAGTACAGCTATATACAGGTATATGAGAACTAATTATAAGGCAAGCCCTAAACCCCTGATCTTTTCAAGCCCACAGCATTCCCTCGCTCGATTCCATGCTGAGGCTTTGGAAATCTCTGGGGTTGTCAGATTGTTGTGTTACAGCAGCCTGAAGGCAATAGGTTTAAGGTTTATAGAAATTGTTATGGGTTCGGGTGCCAAAAACGTTTTCGACGAACCGTTTTCGACGAAACGTTTTCAACGAAACGTTTTCAACGAAACTTTTCAACGAAAATTTTCAGCGAAACTTTTCAACGAAAGTTTTTCCTTTTGAACCCACACCTTGAGTTTGGGGGGGAGGGGGCCAAACATGTTGTCAGAAAATGCAGGAAGGTTTGCCTCACTGTGTCTAGCTGCGCATGTTGGTAGCTGTTGCGGTTTCGGTATTGTCAAGTTCTGAAGCATGATGTCCATGCGTTACATTGCTACTGAGTGCCGGACACTGGCTGAAGATGCAACTCAGGCGCCACTGCTGGAGGAAGCTACCGGTGGGCAAAACGTCATGGGCGGTATCTGGTTTCCCGAAGGACGGATTGTCCTCGGACGCGAAGCAGGCATGTGTTCCCGATGTCGTTCGGGTTCGACTTTATGTGTCGCTGCGTGTTTGCTAGGCCGAGCCATGCGCCTGGCGCTGCATGATCCGCCCGAGGCGCCCTATAAGCAAGGACTGCCTTATTAAGCGATCAGCATAATGATGCACCATGTGCCAAGAGATTCGTGAACCTGTACACTTCTGCAGGAAAGAGCACAGGACCCCTTCCAAGACATCATTGCCTTCCTCCGTCTCCGCTTGATCGGCGGCTACACAAGAAGGTTGAGAACTGGTGGCAGGCCGGGCAGATCTACTTGATGCTTCGCTTCGCCCGTATTGGTTGCTTGGAGGTGTCGGCAGCAGATTTCCGAAACGTGGTCAACACAAAAGGGCCCAGCAGCGGTCGGGAGACTTGGATGTCGGTCCTGCACAGCCGGCTCCCGTAGCGTTTCACAAACTGGACGTCCGGATGTTCCAGAAAATAGGTTTGCGTGGTCAACAGACAAGTCTTTACATACTACGAAGGCTTCAGCTACAATCTTAACCATTAGTTTGAAGTGGGCACTAGAGAACTGTCGAGCTACATACTGACACTAACGCTTGGCAGACCATATCACCTATTTCAAACCAAACCACACAACAGACATCAGAGGCAACATTACAAGATTGCAGCAATACTTGCGTGTGCGCTCGGAGTTCGTAAGCCAGCTTTAAGAGGATGCGGCAATGCGAAAGGTGTAAGGCACGCATAAACGAGTTGGTCAGCCATTAGGCGGTCACGCCTTCCGAGGTCACTACAACTGAAGCCAAAACTATAGACATCTGTGAGCCAAGGACGCTGTAAGTTCGTAACACCAACGTCCACCCATGAACTCCGTATCTTTGTATGGTACAGACCTTGCAAATTTGAATGACGCTGTAAGTTTGTAACGCCAACGTCCAGCCATGAACTCCGTATCTTTGACGGTACAGATCTTGCAAATTTGAATGACGCTGTAAGTTTGTAACGCCAACGTCCGCTCATGAAGTTCGTATCTTCGTATGGTACAGACTTTGCGAATTTCAAGGACGCTGTAAGTTTCTCACGCCAACGTCCACCCATGAACTTCGGATCTTGGTATGGTAATTCTAATGCTACGCAGCCCGCCTCGGCCGCCGGCTGCAGTAGGGCCAGCAGGGGCGCAGAGCAGGGGCCAAACTGCGAAGGGCCTCTTAAAGCAGGTGTAATTTAGTTGCAGGGTCAGGGCTACTTGGAGAAGTGTGGCAAGTGTAGAGCAAACACATGCAGCAAAACCCACAGTGGAGCCGGGGGCAGGCCGAAAGAGAAGAAAAGGTGAAAGAAAACGAGCAGGCAGAAGACAAAAAACAAGGGGAAGCCGGAGGAGGAAGGGGGGGCCGGAGGAGGAAGGGTGGGGCAGGGGAGGGGGGGGCAGGGCAGGGGGGGGCAGGAGCCGGGGGGTGGGCGGGCAGGGGGGAAGGGGGGGGGAGGGGCCCGGGAGGAGGGGGGGAGGCAAATTCGGCGTCGAAAACAGTCGCTAAAAACGGGTGGAAGTTTGCGTTTGGGCTGTAGGAGGTTTGAGGGTTGGTTAGTATTAACCATCAAGACGCCAGAGGCCTTTGGCCTCGGCGGATTACAGACCTTGCACATTTCAAGGACTCTGTAAGCTTGTAACGCCAACGTCCACCCATGAACTTCGTATCGTTGTATGGTACAGATTTTGCAAATTTCATGGATGCTGTAAGTTTGTAACGCCAACGTCCACCCATGCACTCCGTATCGTTGCATGGTACAGACCTTACAAATTACAAGGGCACTTTCAGTTTGTAACTCCAACGTCCACCCATGAACTTCGTATCTTTGTATGTTACGGACTTTGCAAGTGTCAAGGACGCTGTAAGTTTGTAACGCCAACGTCCACCCATGAACTTCGCATCTTTGTATGGTATCGATTTTGCAAAGTTCAAGGACGCTGTAACTTGGTATCTCCAACGTCCACCCATGAACTCCGTATCTTTGTATGGTACAGACATTGCAAATTTGAATGACGCTGTAAGTTTGTAACGCCAACGTCCAGCCATGAACTCCGTATCTTTGCATAGTTGCACACGCTGGTTTCCATTTGCTAACGCAAAATTAAACAAGGATGCTAGTTGCACACGCAGCTTTCCATTTGCTACGGCAAGAGCAAACGTGCTAGTTAAACACGCTGGTTGCCATTTGCCAAGGCAAAAAACAAGGATGCTGGTTGCACATGCTGGTTTCCTTATGCCGAGGCCAAAACAAGGATGCTAGTTGAACACACTGGTTTCCTCCTGCTGAAACAAAAACAAGGATGCTAGTTGCGCACGCTGGTTTCCTTTTGCCGAGGCAAAAAGACAGATGCTAGTTGCACACGCTGGTTTCCAGTTGCCAAGGCAAAAACAAGGATGCTAGTTGCACACGCTGGATTCTTTTTGCCAAGGCAAAAACAAGGATGCTAGTTGAACACGCTGGTTTCCATCTGGCAAGGCAAAAACAAGGATGCTAGTTGCACACGCTGGTTTCCGTGTGCCAAGGCAAAAACAAGGATGCTAGTTGGACACGCTGGTTTCCACCTGCCAAGGCAAAAACAAGGATGCTAGTTGCACACGCTGGTTTCCATTTGCCAAGGCAAAAAGCAAGTTTTGGAGCAAGGATGCTAGTTGCACACGCTGGTTTCCATCTGGCAAGGAAAAAAAGGATGCTAGCTGGTTGCACATGCTGGTTTCCTTATGCCGAAGCCAAAACAAGGATGCTAGTTGCACACGCTGGGTTCCTCCTGCTGAAACAAAAACAAGGATGCTGGTTGAACACGCTGGTTTCCTTTTGCCAAGGCAAAAACAAGGATGCTAGTTGCACATGCTGGTTTCCATCTACCAAAGCAACAAACAAAAGATGCTAGTTGGACACGCTGGTTTCTTCTTGCCGAGACAAGAACGCGGATGCTAGTTGCACACGCTGGTTTCCATTTGCCAAGGCCAAAACAAGGATGCTAGTTGAACACGCTGGTTTCCACTTGCCAAGGCAAAACGCAAAGATGCTAGTTGAACACCTGGTTTCCATTTGCCAAGGCAACAACAAGGATGCTAGTTGAATACGCTGGTTTCCTTCTGCCAAGGCAACAACAAGGATGCCAATTGCACACGCTGGTTTCCATATGTCAAGGCAAAAAACAATGATGCTAGTTGGACACGCTGGTTTCCATCTGCCAAGGCTAAAACAAGGATGCTAGTTGAACACTGGTTTCCATCTGCCAAGGCAAAAACAAGCATGCTAGTTGCACACGCTGGATTCCTTTTGCCGAGGCAAAAACAAGGATGCTGGTTGCACACGCTGGTTTCCCCCTGCTGAGTCAAAAACGAGGATGCTAGTTGCACACGCTTTTTTCCCCCAGCCGAAGCAAAAACAAGGATGCTAGTTGAACACGCTTGTTTCCATTTGCTAAGGCATGAACCAGGATGCTAGTTGAACACGCTGGTATCCATTTGTCAAGGCAACAAAAAAAGATGCTAGTTGGACACGCTGGTTTTCATTTGCCAAGGCATAAGCGAATATGCTATTTGAACACGCTGGTTTCCTTTCGCCAAGGCAACAACAAGGATGCTAGTTGCACACGCTGGTTTCCTTGCATCGGTTAAGGCGAAAACAAGGATGCTAGTTGAACACGCTGGTTTGAATTTGTCAAGGCAACAAAGAAAAATGCTTGTTGAACACGCTGGTGGGATTGCGTTCAGCTGCGGGAGAACGTTACAAGACTAGTCTGGGGCTGAGCTGTGGGTTTGAAATGCCTGGGTTCCAGGTTTTCTAAAACTTGGTATATCATGAAGCTTGTTCCGTTCTTCGCCTCCTACGTGTTTCCACTTTTGCCGTCTCATTCGATTTTGGGTTTTCCGATGCTACGCTGCAGCCGTACTTACTAACAAAGACAAGCAGTTTCTATTTATCATTTTCTTGAGGGTTTAGGGTTTAGGGATTGGAATACGTTTAGGGTTTAGGGGTTTGATACCATCCCTTGTAACCCTTCAGTAATCGCAGCATAGTATGCCCTGAAAACCCCCTTGTAGTAGCCCTGGAATCCTTAAAGGAATCCTTTACAGGAGTTCAAAGCCCGATGTGGATAAGGAATGTGGTGCAAACTGCATAGGGCCGCATACTGTGATTTAAGGGTTTAGGGTTTACCTGTGGCCAGAAGGACCTACCTTTTGAAGGAGCTATATATAGAAACTTTAATAATAAGGAGCCCGAAAAAGGTAGGTCTTTTCGGCTAGAGGTGGGGTTTAGTGTTTAAGGCACCATCCTTAGTTAACGGGTAATGAATTCTCTGGGAAAGCCGCTGCACCAACAGACATGAACTGAGGAGACTTCCAAACCCAAAGTTCCGAACTCTAAACCCAAGCCCCACACACCAAAACCCTAAACCCAAGCCCCAAGCCCCAAACCCCAAGCCCTAAATCCCAAACCCCAAACCGCAAACCCCACACAATAGACCCTACATACCCGGATACTCCCAAACCCTAAACACTAAAGCCTGAGCCCGAAACTCGACGCCACAGTTCCCGAAGGCTTATCGGAGACAATCTTGGCGCGGGCTTCCGAGGTACGTGGCAGATTCGAAACAGCGGAACCAACAGCAACTTGCCGAGTTAGCTGTTGAGGGTTTAGGGTTTTGGGGTTGAGGGTTTAATAGAGGAGCCTCAATAATTACCTATACTATTTTGGGGTCTCTTTATTATAATTAACAGTATCATGGGCCCCCAAACCCTGTTTTAACTATTAAGGCCCCTATGTTAGGGGTTTAGGGTTCATGGAGTTGAGGGTTCATGGTTCCCAGAGAGGGTTGCGGGCTTGGCATCTTTCTGGCTTTAGGGTTCAGGGGAGGGCACTGCAAGGAACGCGAAGCCGCGCAAGCACAGCACCCAAGCAGGCGGTCGGTTGAGTGTTTAGGGTTTGGAGCCATCAGGAAGCAAACCCTTGCATACTTGGAGGGGCAGGGGACTTAGTAAGTAGCTCATAAGTAGGGTTATCAGGGTTATCTTTGGGGTAACTCCATTTAGGGTACTTATAACTCTACTTATAACCTACTTTCTAAGTCCCCTGCCCCTACAAGTACTACATTCAAGCATGTAAGCACAGCAAAGACTTGGACGGAACCTCAGCCTTCACGCAACTATCCAAGAACTGGAATCCTCCGTCCGTGCCCTAGGGCTGCTTCGATCATCCGCAAGCCCCATACCCCAAAGCCTAAACCCTGGACCTAAATCCTATACTCCATACCCTAAACCCTAAACCCTGCCCTTTTGGAAGACTCCAGGCGACGGCCGCTTCCACCTTTGGCCGGCGGCGGAGTTCCAGCCATCAGCGCCACCTGCAGCCCAAGTCTTTCAAGTGGCAGAGGACGAGGGCACGGGATGGGCGCTGGCATCTACT